CGAAAAGGGTCAAGTCAAATCACACATTTTATTGCAAAGCTCGTCATTTAGTTGAGCAACACAAATTATGATGTCTGATACTGCGTACCTTCTTCAATGTATATAGCCCCTTGAGATAATCAAGGGCTATAGCTGACCTAATTTGCAATTCCGATCCTCTATTAATACACTTCCGCATTAGAGCAGCAGCTACCTGCCGCTCATATTTTGGTGATGCTGTTGTGCAAGTTGGAAATATTTTGGTGCTATGGGCTGCGATGGTTTTGGATCTTAGAGTGCTGTTGGGATGGGACACTACGTCTTGTATGATGCTATATACTGCGGCGGAAGATAAAATATGCCTTCTGAATGTTGTTAGTAGCATAATGTCATTTTATATAGTCTGTTATCGTAATGTTGTTAGTAGCATTATGTCATTTTATACAGTCCGTTATCGTAATGTAAAGACTCCAAGCCTTCCCACGGTAGAACTGGCACAAAGATTCATGTGTTTGTCTCTTTGCTTTAATGTATTGCCGCTCATGACCAATCCTGCACAAAAGAACATAGATTTAATAAACATTATGATTAAATCAAGTAGGCACCACGGGAGTGTTACAATACCTTACACTTTATGAGCCATAGCTTTGGATCCCTAATGGATGGCAAAAGATCTTCTTGTTGTACATCCGTGCTTCCTCATCACATTCTGTATGACTAGACATGGCATTGAGAGCTTCAACATCTTCGTGTTCATTAGGCAGCAAAGAGTGATGCTGCATTCTTCTAGAATCACTTTTTTTTTTTTTTTTTTTTTTTTTGTACTTACACACACGTCTCTTCTGATACTTAACCTTTAACCTCCTTTTAGAAAGTAAGAGGTCGATACCGCTACTGGTCTTTTGATTTCTAGAATCACTTTCATGTCAAAGTTCAGTTCCATCGCCTTACCATGAAATCTGCGCCATAAGTAGCAAGATAAGACACATAAGAATTCTTAGGACCACCTGTTATAAGCATCGCCAATTATTGGACATGTTTCTTAGGTGCATGTCCACCCTAATGATTGACAATGCAAGTGGATTGGATTTGTAGGTGAGATCTTACTCCAAAGTATTTCATGCCTAAGAAAGAAACTACAAAGTCTCACAATACAAAAGACCATTGCCAATATGTCAAGAATTAAAATATTAAAATATAGTATTTCTATCAATAAGCAAAGTATAATCACAACTCCAAAGACAAGAATTATGTATTGCCAATATGTCAAGAAAGACAGACTAAAATCAACAAACTTCTTTAACAATATTCATAATTAAATTTAGAGTTGTTGATGTTACCGATCGATCAAAGAATAAAAAATTCTAATTAAGTTTTTAAGTTTTTAAAATTTTTTTTTATATTAATTTGTAAGTATTTAAAGATATTATTTTAATGAGTCAAATATTGTAATTCTCGAACAAACTCGTTAAGAAAGTATTTGAGACTACCATCCTTGGAGTTGGAGGAATAACAATAACTAAAAAATTGGGAGCTATAACTTTCACTTTCATGTAAAAACTAGCTTCAACCTTTCTCTTTAAAATTAGAGAATAGCAGTCACCCACTCACTGTATCCATACTAAAAGAAGAGGGAGAAAAATAATTCTTAGTCTGGTATATTTTGGAGAAATTATTAAATGGTTTTTGATTTCGAGTCAATCACCGACTGTCACATAAGTAGATGTGTAAATTTTATGTCAATTTTATTTTAATTTTTGCGTCTAAGGAATTTATAATCCTTCTTGGTTTTGTGACTCTATAATAGATATTTATATTATTGATGAGAGATATGAGCTAAGTGAGAGGTTGCCTTAGAGCATCCACAAGGGGCTCGGGAAGCCCTTTTTCGTGAGCCAAATAGCCCAAAAGCGTTGCATCGGTCTGTAGGTAATTGGGCGGGCCCACATGGCCTTGCTGGCTCCCGGAATACCGTGAGCCCGAGCCCCATAGCAGTTTTTATATTTTTAAATTTTTTCTTTGTCAAAACGACATTGTTTTGAGGGAATCTTTTTTCCTTTTTTAAATCTGGTAGCAACGGTCTGTAACATGCCAAAAGGCCCTATTTCCTTTTTTCAATGTGTATAGCCTTTGAGATAATCAAGGGCTATAGCTGACCTAATTTGCAATTCCGATCCTCTATTAATACACTTCTGCATTAGAGCAGCAGCTACCTGCCGCTCATATTTTGGTGATGCTGTTGTGCAAGTTGGAGATATTTTGGTGCTATGGGCTGCGATGGTTTTGGATCTTAGAGTGCTGTTGGGATGGGACACTACGTCTGGTATGATACTATATACTGCGGCGGAAGATAAAACATGCCTTCTGAATGTTGTTAGTAGCATAATATCATTTTATATAGTCTGTTATCGTAATGTTGTTAGTAGCATTATGTCATTTTATATAGTCTGTTATCGTAATGTAAAGACTCCAAACCTTCCCACGGTAGAACTGGCGCAAAGATTCATGTATTTGTCTCTTTGCTTTAATATCTTGCCGCTCATGACCAATCCTGCACAAAAGAACATAGATTTAATAAACATTATGATTAAATCAAGTAGGCACCACGGGAGTGTTACAATACCTTACACTTTATGAGCCATAGCTTTGGATCCCTAATGGATGGCAAAAGATCTTCTTGTTGTGCATCCGTACTTCCTCATCACATTCTGTATGACTAGACATGGCATTGAGAGCTTCAACATCTTCGTGTTCATTAGGCAGCAAAGATTGATGCTGCATTCTTCTAGAATCACCTTTTTTTTTTTTAATTGGTACTTACACACACACTCTTCTAAGGCTTAACCTCTAACCTCCCTTTAAGAAGTAAGAGGCCGATACCGCCACTGATCTTTTGATTTCTAAAATCATCTTCATGTCAAAGTTCATTTCCATCGCCTTACCAAGAAATCTGCGCCATAAGTAGCAAGATAAGACACATAAGAATTCTTAGGACCACCTGTTATAAGCATTGCCAATTAATTAAATTTGATTTATTGGACATGTTTCTTAGGTGCATGTCCACCCTAATGATTGACCATGCAAGTGGATCGGATTTGTTGGTGAGATCTTACTCCAAAGTATTTCATGCCTAAGAAAGAAACTACAAAGTCTCACAATACAAAAGACCATTGCCAATATGTCAAGAATTAAAATATTAAAATATAGTATTTCTATCAATAAGCAAAGTATACTATAATCACAACTCCAAAGACTAGAATTATGTATTGCCAATTTGTCAAGAAAGACAGACTAAAATCAACAAACTTCTTTAACAATATTCATAATTAAATTTAGAGTTGTTGATGTTACCGATCGATCAAAGAATAAAAAATTCTAATTAAGTTTTTAAGGGTTTTTTTTTTTTTTTTTGTTATTAATTTGTAAGTATTTAAAGATATTATTTTAATGAGTCAAATATCATAATTATCAAACAAACTCATTAAGAAAGAATTTGAGACTACCATCCTTGGAGTTGGAGGAATAACGATAACTAAAAAATTGGGAACTATAACTTTCACTTTCATGTAAAAACTAGCTCCAACCTCTCTCTTTAAAATTGGAGAATAGCAGTCACCCACTTACTCTATCCATACTAAAAGAAGAGGGAGAAAAATAATTCTTAGTCTGATATATTTTGGAGAAATTATTAAATGGTTTTTGATTCCGAGTCAATCACCGACTGTCACATAAGTAAATGTGTAAATTTTATTTTAATTTTTGCCTCTTAGGAATTTATAATCCTTCACGGTTTTGTGACTCTATAATAGATATTTATATTATTGATGAGAGATATGAGGTAAGTGAGAGGTAGCCCTAGAGTATCCACAAGGGGCTCGGGAAGCCCTTTTTCGTGAGCCAAATGGCCTAAATGTGCTGCATCGGTCTGTAAATAATTGGGCGGGCCCACATGGCCTTGCTAGCTCGAGGAATACTGCGAGCCCGAGCCCCATAGCTGTTTTTTTATTTGTAATTTTCTTTGTCAAAACGACTTTGTTTTGAGGGAATCTTTTTTCCCTTTTGAAATCTGGTAGCAACGGTCTGTAACATGCCAAAAGGCGCCCTGTTTGGTAGCATGTATTTTTTGAAAAAAAAAAAAAAAAAAACAAAAATGGGTGATATTGACATATTTAAAAAATAAATAAATAATAAAAAATATATTGTTTAGACATTGTTTGTCAAAAAAAAATTTTTTCCCTTAAAAGTTGATTTTTTAAAAATTTTTTTTGCTTTAAATTTTAAATTTATACTACAAACATGCATTTGGCCATTAAGGTACTATGCTATAAATTTTAAATAAAGTTTAAAAAATCAAATTTTTAACATTTTTCAAAAAAAAAAAAAAAATTCATTTACCTTCTATAAATACCCTAACTCCAACTTATCCAGAAAAAATATATAAAAAATATTCTAATTCCTACCACCATTTACCATATCTAACCCATCTCTATTGTATAAATTTATTTCTCTTCTATAAATTTTATTATTGTTTAGAGTGAAAATTCAAAAAGCCTAGTGGAATGCTAATTTCTGGAAAGCCAAGGTTACTCGCGGGCTCTTAAAATTACTAAAATATAACAGTGTTGGAGAGCTAAAATCCGGAACGACAAATGCTTTTACGAAATAATTCCCTGTGCTTTCAAAAGTTGCAAAGTGCAATACTCAATTAGTCCGACACATTTTCTTATTAATTTGAGAAAAAAAATACTTTACATTTTAAATTACTATTTTACCCTTTCTAATTAATTTGATCAGGAGGAGAAAGGAATATGAGCTGAGATAATTGAATAGTGGCCATGGGTGCAACAGCAAGATGAAACGCAACTAACAACAGGGACAGATAGCAGCATTACTCATCTTCTTACATTTTTTATGTCATCATCCATAACACTTCCAGATGAAACCCAAGCATTCTATATCTTCGTTTTCTTTTTTTTTATTCTTTTTTTACCATCAAGACCAATGCACTTCAAAAAGAAAGCTTATAAAATTGAAATCTGAATAAACAATACTGTAAAAGGTTAAATAGAATGTACATTATGTTCAAGTCTTGGAAAACTAAGGTAAACAAGGCAAAGAAGGGCGCCAAGGTGGCTGGAAGTAAGGAACTAGTCTGTCGTTTTCCGAGACAGTTCCAGTTCCATTTCCATGGTACTGGATTTGTTCCGATCTTCCCGTCCCAAAATCATAGCAAAACACCATGCTTCCCCGCTGAAGATACACAAGTTTTGCATTGCGAGGATGAAATTCTATGAAGCAAATGTGAGGAAGAGAATTACCGATGCCCAACTTCTCATGACTCACTTCTTCCTTCAACACCCATTCACTGCTTGGTATGACGCGAGATAAACTGTAACTAGAAATCTTCTTTTTGAGCTCCCAAACTTTGATCATCAGTTTTTCATTTAAGGCAAACCGAAGAAGACAACCATCCGAAGACGACGAATGTCCCAATATATAATCCATAAAGAATCCCTCTCTCTTTTTGCAACAGAGAGGAGGCAACTCTATCAGCCAGATACTATTTTCCCCCATGTGGGGATCATAAGCCACCAAATGACCGCTAACTTTCCAGTACAACATCCCACCAACTGAGAGACATTGATAGGACATCTCCACCTCATATGAAAATGCAGATGGACAAGTGAGAAATGATTCGCTCCACTTGCCTGTACGAGAAGAGAAAGTTTCTATATGTAATCTGTCATGTGTGGCTCCCTCTTCCACTTCCATAATAGCTGCAACTACTTTGAAATGCACCACACCATCACCATCTTTGCTGCTACGTTCTTCACAAGACAAACCCGCCGAGGATGGAGCATGTCTTGGTTCAGGAAGAGCAAACCATTGGTTTGTTACGGGATTACAAATGTAGTATTTGAAAACTGTAAACCTTTCTAAACGGCATAGTATTAGGCCTTCAGGAGAAGCATCAATAAACAAACGTTTTACAACGATATCCAAACTTATGAATTTCCTTTCCTTACAATTTTGTAGGAATGAAACTTCGAGTGTTGACCCACCATAATCTTGAGCAGCAAGAGTAATCCGAAAGAATCCCAACAATGGGAGAAGAGAATTCTTTCTTTGAGAAAGGTAATTGCTGCAGAAAAGAGGATGAGAGATCAAACTGTTCCATGTCTTTGATACACACTTAAACTTGCAGACGGCATCTAGAGGCAATCGAAGTAAAATCTCATTTACAAGTTCATCGCAGTGTGACACAGCTTCCACACTGCTAAACCTGCTGTGGCACCTCTTCATTATCCTGGAAATTAAGGAGAGAGACACAAAAGGAGATGAATAAAAAATGAAGTAGAAATCAAAATCAAACATTAAAAAAAGAAAGATAATCTAACAGACAGAAAAATTCTGAATAAAAATAACAAAATAAAGTAATTCTGACAGAGAAAAACAAAAAAAAAAAAAAAAAATTTGGCATTCATCAACAAAGGGCCATTAATAAAAAAAGAAAATGAAATTAAAATCAAACACACAAAGAAAGATAATGTGACTGACATAAAAATTCTGAATAAAAATGACAAAAGAATGTAATTGTAAAAAAAAATAGAAAAACGATTTTTTTTTCACCAAAACCAAAAACATAACTCTATTCTTGCAGAGAAGAAACAAAAAAGAAAACCTCAAAAAGAACAGACGTTCACCCATAAATTGTATACCTATAATCGGCAGGATTCATCAGCAAAAGGAGATTAATAAACAAAGAAGTAGAAACTAAAATCAAAGATAATGCTACTCACAAAAATATTCTGAATAAAAAAAAAAAAATGAAGTAATTGTAACAAATATAAAGACTAAAAATGTTTCACTACTAACTAAACTGAAAATTCTGAATTTTAACAAAAATAAAAAAACCAACACAAAAAAGAAAAGAGGAAAAAAAACACTCAAAAAGAAAAAAAACACAATCCGCTCGATTCATCAACAACAGAATAAACAAAGAAAAAGAATTAAAATCAAACACACACAACAGAAGTAATAAAAATAATAATAATGTGCCCAAAAAAAATTTAACTCAAAATTCTGAACTTTCACCATAACCAAACTCTATTCTTAATTTTAACTTCGAGAAGAAGGAAAAAATAAACATAAACTGCATACCCAATCAGCACGATCAATCAAGAAATGGAATTTATTACACAAAACCCAATACAGAATGATACAAATTTAAAACGAAGGAAAACATATAATAATCAGATCAGAGTGAAATTGGATCTCCAAACAGATAGAAATTATGATTAATTACCCATAAACTACATACCCAATCGGCACAATTCGTCAAGAAATGGAATTAATTACACAAAACCAAATACAGAATGATACAAATTTAAAACGAAGGAAAACATAAAATAATCAGAACAGAGTGAAATTGGATCTCCAAACAGATAGAATTATGATTATGATTAATTACCCATAAACTGCATACCCAATCCGCACGATTCATCAAGAAATGGTATTTATTACACAAAACCCAATACAGAATGATACAAATTTAAAACGAAAGAAAACATGAGATAATCAGATCAGAGTGATATTGGATCCCCAAACAGATAGAAATTACGATTAATTACCTGAAGTTGAAGAAGCCGATCAGAGAGAACTGTTGTGGGTTGACTTCTTCGAATGAACTACACTTCCCACTTTGGAGTTCGATGGGAAGAGACGAAGAGAATAAGGCGGCGTCTTTCTAGGGCTTCCCTTTTGGAGAGAGAAAAAGAAGTATAGAGCAGGAAAAAAAAACACTTAAATCTTTGAAACCCTAACCGTAATCCATCCCAAATCAACGTCGTTCCATTTACTACCCGTTCCTTCAACTCCCTTGAATTATTATTAAACTTGACTCTGTTCGACCGTTGGAGAGTAAGGAGAGAGAAATGGTTATGGGAAAACCTTTATTATTATTTTTTCGCAAATAACCCAAGAACTATTAATTTATTATCTACTAATTGCATTAAACTCCCGAGTTATGAGATTGCAATAAACTCTTGAGTTAAAAATAACCCCCTAAATTACTAATTAGTTGCCTTCAAATATGGGCTAAATTTTGAATGACCTAGTTTAGGTTGTATTATGTGATTGATACGCTGACGTGGCAATAAAATATAAAAAAATTTAAATTCTTGTTTTAGAAATTTTCAATTTTTTTTTTTAATTTTTTTTAAGACGTGGCAATACAATATAAAAAAGTTTAAATTCTTATTTTACAAATTTTTAATTTTTTTTAAAAAAAATTTAGAGATATATATATAAAAATAAATGTTCTAAAAAATATATATATAAAGTAATGTTTATATAAACCCCTACACCTTTTTTTTTCACTCAAAAGTCATCTCCTAAGTTGTAGGTTTTAATATTGTACATCAAATACTAATTTCCCTTCTAAATATATTATCAAACATTTTTTTAAAAGTACTTATTATGTTGTTAGACTTATATTTTCTTTTATTAATTGGGCTTACAGTTAGTATGTGAAATTAATATGTCCTCAAAAAATGTGTTGTCAAAAAATGTTTTGATATGCATTTTAAGAATTATATAAATTGTCAATATGTCCCTCGCCAATGTAACGAGATAACCCACAAAAAATCGACAAACTTTGAGAGTATAATGTAATTTTGTATTGAAGGATCACATGCCGATTGGAATGGTGTAATTATTATTATTCTAGCCGAATAGTTTAGCTGACGGTTTGGGTCAAATAAACCATGACTATTGATGGTCAATTAAAACAATGTAAGAATGGCATCACCATTCTAATGATCGGTTTAATCAATTTAAACCGAATTACAAATTAAATATTTCAAAATAACCCTCACAATGAAAAATAAACTAAACTAACAAAATAATATTCTTCTATGAATTTTTTTTTTAAAGGAGGCAACAATTGTGTAGACGACCCCATTTGGGATGGTCACCACCACCATTGCTGCCACCTTCCACCGACACTACTGTTCCCGCTTTTCAATTTCTTTCAAAAATAATTTACAATTTATTCCATCCTAGATTTGAAATTGGTCCAATCAAACATTAAACAATGATAGTTTACAACAGAATGACAATGACTATTTCAATACATTCCTATTCTCATTTCCACTAAAAGCGAAAAAATACAGGTGTAATTATTATTATTTTTCTTAATTGATACTCACACACACATGACCCGAACTCTGATCTCCCTTTGAAAAGTAAGAATCTCTTCCTTTGAAAAGTAAGAGTTTAGAACTGCTAGGCCACTGACTTGACAATACCCATGTTATTTTCACCACCAAATAATTCACTGTGAATTGCAAATGTTTTTATGTTAGAGAGGCAAACAATACGAGGCACTGAGATAATTGACTAGTAGCATTACTCATATTGTCAACAAATAATACACTTGCTTTCAAAAGTTGCAAAATAGTGTGATATATTTACTTATTATTTTGACAAAAAGTATTACATTATACATCACCATTTTACCCTTGTGGATTGTGAATGTTTTTATGTTACAGAGGGCAAAACGGATATGAGGCACTGAGATAATTGAATAGCAGCTTGTTAGACTTTGTGTCATCCATAACACTCCCATATGAAGTGAAACCTGAATATATAAAGTTGTACAAGGTCACAAAGAATGTATTACATTATGTTAAGACCAATGCACTTCAAAAAGCTAGCTTATAAATTGAAATCTGAACAAAAAAAGTTGTAAAAGGTTACAAAGAATGTATACATAGAATGTTAAGTCCAAGTTAAACAAGGCAAAGAAAGGCGCCAAGGTGGTTGGAAGTAAGGAACTAGTCCGTCGTTTGACGAGGCAGTTCCAAGATACTGAATTCGTTCCAATCTTCTAGTCTCAAAATCATAGCAAAACATCATTCTTCCCTGCCTAAGATACACAAGTTTTGCATCGCGAGGATGAAAATTTATCAAGCGAATGCCATGAAGAAAATTGCCGATGCCCAACTTCTCGAGACTCGCTTCTTCCTTCAACACCCATTCACTACTTGGTATGATGCGAGATAAGCTATAACTAGAAAGCTTCTTCTTGAGTTCCAACACTTTGATCATCAGTTTTTCTTTTACAGCTACAGCAAACCGAAGAAGACAACCATCCCGTGACGACGACTGTCCCAAGACATATTCCATATAGGATCCCTTTTTCTTTTTGAGACAAGGAGGAGGCAACTCTATCAGCCAGAGACGATTTTCCCCCATGTTGGGATCATAAGCAGCCAAATGACCACAACTAAATTTCCAGTACAAGATCCCACCTACTGAATGACATCGGTAGGACTCGCCATCGTCATCTGAAAATTCAGATGGAGAAGTGATAAATGATTCGCTCCATTCGCCTGTCCGAGAAGAGAAAGTTTCTAAATGTAATCCGTCATATGCGGCTCCCACTCTATTTTCCATAATAGCTAGAGTTACTTTGAAATGCACTACACCATCACCATCTTTGCTGCTACATTCCTCACAAGATAAAGCCTCCGAGGATGGAAAATGTCCTGGTTGAGGAAGAGTTAACCATTGATTTGAGACGGGATTACAGACGTAGTATTTCAAAACCATGTTGCCATTTGAACAGCATAGTATTAGGCCTTCAGGAGAAATATAGCTAAGCATACAGTCTTCAAACAAATCCAAATTTGTAAATTTCTTTTCCTTACAATTTTGTAGGAATGAGTATTTAATTGTTGACCGACCATTATATCTATGAGAACAAGTAATCCGAAAGAATCCCAACAATGGGAGAAGAGAATTCTTTCTTTGAGAAAGGTAATTGCTGCAGAAAAGAGGATGAGAGATCAAACTGTTCCATGTCTTCGATACACACTTAAACTTGCAGACGGCATCTAGAGGCAATCGAAGCAAAATCTCATTTACAAGTTCATCGCAGTGTGACACAGCTTCCGCACTGCTAAACCTGCTGTGGCACCTCTTCATTATCCTGGAAATTAAGGAGAGAGATACAAAAGGAGATCAATAAACAATTTATGAAATAGAAATTAAATTAAACACACAAAAAGAAAGATAATGTGACATACAGAAAAATTCTGTATAAAAACAACAAAATAAAGCACTTCTGACAAGAGGTAGGAATATATATATATCAACAAAAGGAGAATAATAAACAAAGAAAAAGAAATTAAAATCAAACACACAAAAAGAAAGATAATGTGACTGACATAAAAATTCTGAATAAAAATAACAAAAGAAAGTAATTGTAACAAATACAAAAACAAAAAAAGTTTTACCAAAACCAAACTCTACTCTGGCAGAGAAGAAAGAAAAAAGAAGACCCCAAAAAGAACACATTTTTAACCATTAATTGAATACCTATTCAGCAGGATTCATCAACAAAAGGAGATTAATAAACAAAGAAGAAGAAACTAAAATCAAAGATAATGTGACTGACATAAAAATTCAGAATAAAAATAAAATGAAGCAATTGTAACGAATATAACAACTAAAAAAGTTTCATTATTAAGGAAACTGAAAATTCTGAACTTTTACCAGAATCATAAAAAACAAAAAAACACAAAATTTTACCCATAAATTGCATACACAATCCACTCGATTCAGCATGAAAAAAATAAACGAAGAAAAAGAAATTAAAATCAAACACACACAACAAAGCAATAATAATAATTGTAACAAATAGAAAAACTAAAAAAGTTTCATTCTAAACTCAAAATTCTGAACTTTCACCATAACCAAAACACAACAGAACTCTAGTCTTAATTGTAACTTCGAAACGAAAGAATAAGAAAATACGCTTACACATAAACTGCATACCCAATCGGCACGATTCATCAAGAAATGGAATTAATGACACAAAACCCAATACAGAATGATACAAATTTAAAACGAAGGAAAACACGAAATAATCAGAACAGAGTGAAATTGGATCAGATAGAAATTAAGATTAATTACCTGAAGTTGAAGAAGCCAATCAGAGAGAACTGTGGGTTGGCTTCTTCGAATGAACTCTACACTTCCCACTGGATTGATTTGGAGTTCGATCGGAAGTGACGAAGAGACAAAGGCGGCGGCTTTCTAGGGCTCCGCAAAAAACATATAGAGAAAAAATAAGGGGCCACTCTATATATATATATATATATATATATATATATATATATGTTAAGATAAAATAACAATAATAATAATAATAAGCTTAAGGTGCAAGAAAACTCTTGAATTATTTTATATTTTATATTTGCAAGTAACTCATGAACTATTAATTTATTATCTACTAATTGCATTAAACCCCCAAGTTATGAAATTGCAATAGACTCCTGAATTAAAAATAACTCTCTAAATTATTAATTCGTTCCATTTAAGTACGAGCGTTATACAACCATCAACGAAAATAATAAATTATTATTTAGACCTTATTTGAACAACCTTGTTTAGATTGTATTATGTTGTTGATACGCTGAGGTGGAAATAAAATATAAAAAAAATTTAAATTCTTATTTTATAAATTCTCAAAGTTTCAAAAAAAAAAATAAACAAATAATTTTAGAGATATATATATAGAGAGAAAAAAGTTTTAAAAATATATATATAAAGTAATGTGCACATAACCCCTATACCTTTTTTCACTTGAAATTCATCTCCTAAGTTGTAGGTTTTATTATTGTATGTCAAATACTAATTTCCCTTCTAAATATATTATCAAGCATTTTTTTTTTTTTTTTTTAAAGTACTTATTATGTTATTAGACTTATATTTTCTTTTATCAATTGGGCTTATAATTAGTATGTGAAATTAATATGTTGTCAAAAAAATGTTTTGATATGCGTTTTAAGAATTATATAAATTGTCAATATATCCCTCGCTAGTATAATGAGATAACCCACAAAAAGTCAGCAAGCTTTGAGAGTAGAATGTAATTTTGTGTCGGAGGATCACATACGATCGAAATGGTGTAATTATTACGGAATATTATTCTAGCCGAATAGTTTAGTAGATGTTTTGGGTCAAATAAACTATTGGCATTGATGGTCAATTGAAACAATGTAAGAATGGTATCACCACTCTAATGATTGGTTGAATCAATTTAAACCGAATTACAAATGAAATATTTCAAAATAATCCTCACAATGAAAAATAAACTAAACTAACAAAATAACATTCTTCTATGATTTTTTTTTGAAGTAATTGAGGTGGCAGTGAAGGTGTTTGGTAGTGGTTTGTGGAAGGCGGTAATAGTAGAAGGCAACAATTGTGTGTAGACGACCCCATTTGTGATGGTCGTCACCACCATTTCTACCACCTTCTACCAACAATTCCAATTTCTTTTTTAAAAAAATTTACAATTTATTCCATCCTAGATTTTGAAATCGGCTAAATCAAACATTAGAACAATAATCGTTTACTATAGAATGAGAATGACTATTTCAATTCATTCCTATTCTTATTCTCATTATTTAAATTCATTCCCATTCTCATTCCAACTAAAAGCGAAGAATGATTGTATACTATAGGTTGTATTAAGTTGTTGATATGCTGATGTGTCAATAAAATCTCAAAAAATTCAAATACTTAATTTACAAATTCTCAAAGTTTAAATAAAAAAAGAGTTTTAAACATATATATAGAGAAAAAAGTTTCAAAAAATATATATTGGTAATGTGCACATAACACCATTATACTATGAGATTAGTAGCATATATACCCTTTTGGACATTTTCGAAAGAATAAAAGGACAAGACGGGTATTACAACACTAATTTATGCCAAATTTATGATTTAAGAGTATTTTTGCACAATGTATATATATATTTTCTGCACTTGTCTCATATTTATTTGTATATATATATATATATAAACTCATCCAAACCTACCAAAAAAAAAAAAAAAAAAAAATCATTTTGTATGTTGTCTGTACAATTATTTCCTTCATTAAACAAAAGGCCACCATAACCAGAAACGAAGGAAAAAAAATAAAAAAGCCTCTGACTCATTTGGTCATTTATAATAGGCACAAATATTATAATTTTTTCTCTACAAATATAAAATAATTACATGTATTAAATACATAATAAGCACATATAAGTAGGTTTATGTACATAGAGAGGCCCAGTTTTAAGGTCCATCGCCAAATGAACAAACTTGATCAAGGCCTATTGCAATTCAAATGTGATCTTCAACGTATCACAATGTGGCTGCATTTCCCTTTGGAGATGTCTACACATATAAATAGAGTTATCGACCAACACTTTAGGCTCTCAACTTTATCTTCTCTAAGGAGTAAAGTGAAATCTTGAAGGTTCGATCAATCTTCCTAAGGACAAAAGTAAGTATCGCTATAGTAATTTCTTTAAGCAATTAAGAGCACAAACACTTTTAACATTCAAGAATTAATTCAAAAAAAAAATTGTTCATTTTTCCTATTATTCTTTTAAAATTAATGAAGTATTGAGCTCATAAACTTCATAAGCTCAAGACATCCGACGAATTCGCATGTTTAAAATTTAGACAGAGGTTTTCAGTTATAAAATGATAAATTCAATCCCTAAAAAGGTAATTTAATTTTTTAAGGCCTATATCATACCATGTAGTAGAGTGGGTCCTTACAGATTATATCATTTTTAAAAATTCGGCACGTTCAAAATGAACTTTCGAATATAGTTTCTCCTAGGAGTTGTGACAAATTATAGCGAAGAAGGAAAACCGGGTAAGAGAGTTATAGGAATCTTTTTGACTTTTGCAACCTTGGTGGTTTTCTTATTGAACCGTTATTTTCCTTATTTTCTAAGCTTTTTATAAATTCCTGCATTAGCTCTTTACTGAATTAATCAAATTCATTTTCAGTTATAAAATGATAGATTACCATCCCTAAAAATTTCATTTAATTTTTTAAGGCCCATACAAAACAACAAGCCATCAAGCCCAATATGTAAACCAACAAGAAGAAAACAATTACACTTCAAATGAACTAAAAAAAAGCCCAAACAAAAGAAGCCCAGATGGCCCAATTTTAAAAGATTAACTACCACCAAAACCCACGGTGGGAAGTGGGAACCATCAAAGGGGATGGAAATGGTGGTTAAAATTTATTTACAAAATTTATCTCCGTGTGACATTTGGCAAAACTTCAGGGAGTGTCAATGTAATTAACCCCAAACTTTTACAAAAGTTTGACCGAAGGAACACATGAAATAATAATTTGGACCCGTGTTAAATTCAAATGGTGGTAAGGCTCGGTTCAATTTATAAAAAATAATTTTCAAAAAACATAAAAACTGTCAAACAACCTTGATTTTGTTTAGTTTATTGATTTTTAGTTCTCAAAAAACAGAAAAACCGCTTTAAGAAAACTGAACCAAGCATAAGCCCAAACTTCCCATTCTTTTCAAGAATAACAAAGCTTACATGGATTGCGTGCAACAACAAAGGACTAAAATGCAGACCAAAAAACATAATACTTATTATTGTTGATGAATGGATACAAACACGTACTTAAAGAAAAGAAAAGAAATGGTACAACCTCAGGTTTCACTAAATGAATTCTCAGTTACTCATCAGCCATGGCTAACTCCAACGCATAGTCATCCCGATCCTGCAAAAACACATTGAAGAAGTAATTTAATTCTTCGAGAAGAATAATGCAATGCAATGTTATCTCATTCCATCCTTTTCTATTAGTAGTATTCTCAAGGGAACATAAGCTGTGTCTCTGGAAATTTTTAGGAATAGAGAACTTACTATGGGTCCTCGGGCAAAATATCTCCCAAATTGAAGCCAATATACCTGCAAAAGTGAAGGATTTCAACATTCCATGTTCCAAATGAACAAAGAGGATTATTTTTTTAATGCACCATAAAACATGCCATCCCCCAATCCCACTCTCTCCCCTAATGTGCATCCAGACAAAATGCTGCAAGGAATCTGATCCCAAATTCTCCCAGGCAAGCCACAATAACTTTTCGATTCAGTGAGAATACCTCTGGGAAAATAAAAGTGTTAGCCCAGTGCATGAGGCTCCCGCCATTGCGGGGGCTGGGAGGATTAGATGTACGTAGTCTTACCTCTACGAAAATAGGGGCTGCACAAATCTATCATCAAGAATGGGAATTTTGAAGAAAATGGATTAAACTGAAACCAAGTCATCTCATGGAATTCTAATTAGTCCTCTACATGTGCACTTTATTACACTTATCGGAGGTTCAAATATGCTGTCAGTTTTTTTTTTTTTTTAAACTGAACTGGATATAGTTCTGTATATTACCTCATCCTCATCCTGTGTTTCGACTTCAATATCTGAGGTTGGAAAGCCCACACAAAGAAGTGCATAACCCTGAATTACAGATAAAATAAGCATCAATTTTGCAATGATTTATTAAAATACTTGTTTCCTCTTTCCTGGCTGGAAACCATAATTTCTCCTAGTTATAAGATAAAGAAAAGTAAGAGTGAGACATGTTTCATTTTGACAAGCAGCTGCATTGGTTGAGTCTTTTCTTTGTCCCTTTTTTTTTCTTTGTTCTTTTCTTCAGGGTTTGGTTGACATGTAAAAAATCAACTTTAACAATATCCACTTAAATACATGCAGAAAGTCGAAACCAATTTCTTGACCACTTACACGATAATCATTTGAAAGAGTTTCACTGTTAATTTGATTACTTTACAAGATTTATTCATCATCTTGCCTTTAATGTAAATTTTTTATGGTTAAATATCCAACGTTCATGAGCAAGAAGAGTGGTGGTTAAGAAGCAACACAGAATTACTAGTCCCCCAGAAAAGAAAAAGTACATTAATATTATGTTGCCTACAAGTTAATGACCTGCATGTTTCAGATAGCTTCTTATTAAGTATGTCAATTTTATATTGTTAGATTGACCAATAGATGACTCAACATAAAGTTGTCATACGAACTTTACATTGATGCTGTTATCTCAAATGAATCAATCATAAACTTGCGACTGTGGTGCATGATATGCACAAAAGATAAATTGATAAGCTGATTAAATGGAACATTAGACCAAGAAAGAACTTCCATATTGAACCTCTAATTTGCATTATTTAGGTGATGATACAATCTAGTAAAAAATTTAACCCATGAATCCAGAGATAAATTATACATGCCTTAGATTTCAATTCTGCAGATATCCCTAATGCTTCAGGCTGTCTAATTTCTCCAGATTTTATACGAACAGCACAGCTAGTACAACAACCTGTAATATAAAAAGCTCTTCAGTTGGTAAAGTTTCCACTAGTTAAAATAACAAAGTTTATATTCATGGCAGAGTTACAGGACAATCACCCCATAGAACTAGGAGTGAAAAGCACAACACAAAAGGGGAGCAAGATTCACGACATAGCGACAACCTAGGAAACCAATCTCTTTGTAATTAATAACGGGAAATAATGCTGACCTACTCACAAAAAAATCAAGTGACTGAATAAACCTAACAGATTAAAATGTGAAGTTGTGCAGCCATATCTTCCTCCTTATACAACAAATTGTCAGTTTAATCTATTCCATGTATAAAGTAATTCAGTTTACATGTAGTATTACATAATTCACTTAATATGTATAAGTACATAATTAGTAACAACATATAAGTACATAGCTAGTAACCAGGGGCGGACCTTGAACTTTAGGTAAGGGGGGCAAGACTGAAATTTTGGAATAATTTCAGAGGAGGCATTAGTAATATTTTGGGGATATATATTGAAAAAAAGAAAAAATAACATGGTATATTAGTAAAAAATTAAAAATTCATGGGAGGCAATTGCCCCCCTCACTTGCTACTAGGTCCGTCCCTGCTAGTAACAACACATACGGACAACATAGAAGAATGGGATGCTGAAAGTGGATCCTAGGGTTATATGTGAAAAATCGATCTAAAAAACCATGTAATATTTGGATCATTCAACATGGAACTTGGACAAAATACCTAAAGCAACATGCTCATTGCCGACCAATATAGCATACCCGTCCAACACATAGATTAAAGGCTCATATATATTTCAGGCCAAGGACCATGGTAGCTTGGAAGAGAGCTAAGGGCACTACAATGTTTTGAAGCAACCCCGAGGGACGCTGCACCCTTTGGATGGATTCTTACCTAGGAATAACATGGAAGCACCCTAGAGCTTTGGTGCTTCAAGGACTGGACTCATTGAATGACATGTATCTTAGTTAAGGGGCAGTATTACAGGCTAGCCTAGCTAGGCAGCAGCATTCCTTACCAACAGAGAATTGCACTTGTCCCTTTGGCACACTTGGAAGGGGGAGACACTGCACACAGGACTTCGTTGATTGTGCACTGTCTTTAATGAAACTCCACCATTATACATTTTCTTCTACAATGCAACTATAAAATATCTTCACATTGTATTGTGGTCTAGCCATATTTGACGTAACTCAATGCTCAGGCTCTAGTTTTTAATGTCAATCGCATCGGTTATTGATTAACCATATGATTTTCGGAATTAGAATTATGGTGCTCTGCCAAAAAGTTGACTTTATACCCAATTACAAATATCGAGCTTCTATTCTTCCTGTTTTCAAAAACTTTTGCTCTTTAATAAGCAGCCCATATTGAAGATTTATATTGTTATTCTTATAGAAGTCTCCTCTAGAACACAATTGATGCATTATCAAAATCCGATTCGAGCCGGACTATTGCTTTTAATTAATGATCAGAATTTCACACATTGTGACTTCTATTTTCCAGAATACAGATATCAAAGAAGCCCCCTTTTTTTTCTTCTTCTCACATAATTTCCAAGAAGAACGAAAAATGGACAATCACAAACTTCCCAATCAATGCAAAATTAAGAAATTTACAGTTACTCCCTTACTACATCCAACACACACACATATCCATCCACACACACACATTTATATAATTGTGTGAAGAAAAACTGAGAAATGATGTGCTACATTATTAAAAATTGACGAATTACATAAAAATACCGTGTCTACAAGCGAATGGCAACGATATATTCTGAGATTCAGCTGTATGTAGTATATATTGGTCCTGCAATCGAATTAATGAACCCAACCCATTGTTGATTAATAAAAATTATTCATAACAGAAGAATAAAGTACCTTACTTTACAAACAAACAGACAGATATATACATACATATATGATTATATATATATATATATATATATATATATATATATAAACGTTTATATTTATTATAATGCCTAGAAATGAAAAGGATAAATTTACCTCGGGAACGAGGAACTCGTGAACGAGGCCGCGCTGTCTGTCGTGAACGGTGACTTTGTGAGTTGGAACTGATGGTGAATAGACACCAATTTGACCGGAGACTCCTACCGGCGTTTGGAGCTCCGACGTCGTTTTATAGCCACGTTTTGACAAATGCAAGGCGTACTTGGTGGTGTTCGGCGAAGGAAACTGTCGATTAAGTGCCGGTTTTCGGTGGATTGAAGTGCAGAGATTACACGGCGCTAGAAGAGCCATGCCTGTTTCTCTCTCCAGCGATCTTACAGTTGGTATAAAGTGAAGAAGAATAGATGAGTGGATAATGGAACGGGTTGAAAAGTCTACTTTGCCCCCGTTTGCTATAAACTAATTTTAGGATTTTTGAAAAGAAATTACAAATTTCATAGGAGTATTAACTTTAACCCAAGTATTTTATGCACTAAATTTACTGTTCGCCAATCCCATTTGAGATGGCATATTATGTGTTGATGATGTATTGTATAAATATTTTTGTATTTGTTTGATAATAATATTGTTTAAATAACTTTTATTACTCATTTTATTATATTGCTAATACACTAAACATGTGCATTACCCTAATATTAACTATTGTAAAATTTGATTGCGGTCAATAATTAATATGAAAAGATTAACTCTTCTTGAATTTCATCTTTATTATCACATCTTTGTTTAATATATATACTCCATATTTATATTTGATTTAAAAATTTTTAATAATAAAATAAACAAATTTATACTTATGATATTTAATAATAAAAGTTAGAATACAATGACAATATACCACTAGCTTTTATAGAATACGGGACACGGTTTTTTATATAGGAGATGGGCAATTCCAAACAAAAAAAAATGAGTAAAATACTCACAAAATTTTCAATTGGCAAATGTTTTATAGGCATTCTCTGCATAAATATAAATAAAGTTTCATGCCGGATACAGAAAATTATGTGAGTGGGGATGACCTTTAATAGCAACAAGAAAAAAAAAAATTCAAACAATTATAATAAGCAGCAAAAAAAAAAAATTTCAAACTATTATAATAACCTTCTGTGTAACGTGTTTGATAATTAGATTGATGTTTTCAGTGGCTTGGGTCATTGGCCCTTTCTCTTTAAAGAAGTCCAATGTGGATTTGTGGGAGTAATAGTGCTAATTTTCAAAAATTTTTGTAGGGCAATGGTTAATTTTTATTGATATATATTTCAAAATAATTTTTTTACAGGGGTATAATATAAAAAAAAACAAAATTTTCAGGGTCAATTGCCCCCCACTGGACTCTGGATGCCTCCATCACTGTGTTATGTTTTATTTTCCTTTTTCACTTGAAACTGTGAACTCATTTATTTTGTTGTATTAACCATCTAATAAGACTACCACTCGAACCTCTTCTTATTTACACAGTTTTGTTGATTACAAATGATATATTCAGTCCTTATATAAGACACAGTCCCTTGATTGACAATTCTCTTCTAAAACATGGTAGATATTTATAATCTCTAAACTACTCTCCGCTATTAAAACTCTCCATGGTACAACTTTTTAGAATCCTCCCATAGCCCACATAAATGTGGAAGTACGTAAAACAATCATTCACATATGCTAAACAGACGTCATGCAGGTTTCTAAACGATTGTATGTCACCTCCGCGACGCAACATCCCCTATTCTTTGGTGGGGCACGACACTTTGGTGTCTGATTTATTTCTTATTGTCGTTCTACAAAAGATTACAGGTTTTTATTTTTTTAGAATTAATGCTACAATTTTTATTTTATTTTTTCGTGAAAAAAGAAAGTAACTAAGTAGAAGATAATATAGTCCTCATGGGCATAGGCTCATAGCCGCGTTGGTAGGGATCTGGCGCAGGGGTTTTTAATTTTTTTTTTAGTAGCCCCCAAAATATTTATATTGCAAATAAACTTAATTTATGATCCCAAAATTTATAATAAATTTTAATTTGGCCCCCTCAAAATATTTTCAAAACATTTATTTATCAGCCCAAAAATAGAGAGTGAAAATAAATTTAACTTATTTTACTTTTAACTCATACAATATCAACTTGGAATCTTTTAGCCATACTTTGAAAACTTAAATCTTGTGAAATAAAAATGTAAGTTCATTATTATGGCAATCCTTACCAAAAAAAAAAATAATAATAATAATAAAATGTTACTTCATTTGCATATAGATATGTATAATATTCATTATATGAATTTAGGAGAGAAAAAGAAGATAAATATACCAATGTCCCTCATGTCTAACAAAATAAATAAAATTTTCTTTTCGACATTAAGTGAAAGTGAAAGTAAAAGTAAAAGAAAGTGAAGTGAAGTGAAAGAACATTATGGGCTTGTTTGGCTGGGCTTTCTGCAGCCTCAAAATGGGCTTCTAAGCCCAAAAAGTTCTTTGCCAACAATAAAGAGCATTTGGTAAATTTGTTTTAAAATTAACTTTTAAAAAGTCTTAGTAGTTTAGAAGCTCAATTGACCAAAGCTAATAAAACATGTTTCTTGGTCGACTTCCCACAAGTTACACACTTTTTTAGGTAATAAATATAAAATTCCTATATTGTCCATTATTTAACTATTTCCATTTTTGAATTTCATTGCTAACTTTTATCTTTCTTTTTCTAGATCATCTTCTTTGTTCGTTTTCCACACAAAAAAAGTAAAAAAATATTGTCAAGCAAAATTTCACAAAACTTTATTGAAAAAAATATTGTTGAAAAATGATTCAACAAAAGAAAAACAAAGAGATTGAGGAATTGCAGGAAAAATTACTATTGACTCCTATTTGACTTCAAAGTATGAAGAGTTCCATGATTTATGAATTTTCATCCAAAATTCAACCCTATGTAGAATTTTAAATAACTTTTCTTTCTTTCAATATATATATATATACACACACACCCACACACACAAAATATATATATATATATATGTATATATAATTTTTTTTTTCTTTTTTGAAAGCTACCTGTTCCGTTGTTAAAGTGATTTATAGTTATAAATAAGAATAAAAATGGGATATTTTTGCTGCTATCTCTCTCTTTCATTTTATTTTTCTTTTTCCATCTCTTTCAATTTCTATCATGTAGTCAAGGAAATTATAATAATAATAATAATAAAAAAACTTCTAGCTAGTAGATTGGGTTGGGTTAAATTTGTATACCCGGATCTTCACTATGCCAATTAATCGTTGCTGCATCATTGGCACTTTCACTCCATCACTTTAATTATGGTTTTTTTTTTTTTTCCTTCCCTTCTTTGTACATTCCAATTCAACTCTTTGCTATTCATGATTTATTAAGGATATAATTGTCAAGTTAAATTATGTTAATAGTTAAAAGAGCTTCAAAAAAATTTACCCACCAAACAATTTTTTTGTTTTAAATTCCTTTCATCAAAATACATTCTTCAAAGCCGATTCAGTGGAAGGAATATTAGAAATTGAAAGCTCCCTAAACATGGCCTAAGTTTCCAAGTCAATTTGGTTAGCACTTCAAAAAATTTCAAAAAAAAATTTTACAAAATTATTATTTTATGGTTAAATAACATGTAATTTTCTATAAAATAAAGGGCATTAATATTGTAAGTTCACAAAATTTCCTCAAAAAATCAAAATTTTCTTGTGATTTTTGGAAAAAAAAAATTTATTGGAAAATTAAATGGTTATGGAAAGTGATTTTCCTCAAAAATTTTCCTTTTCCGGCTAAACAAACTCCTAAAATGTTTTAAAAATTTTCATTTCCTTTATTTTCTAACTATTTTCATCTAAACAAATGAAGCCTAAAGATGGTGTTTACAAGAAAATTATTTAGAATTATATATAAATCCCTATCAACAAGCCGGCAAGCCTGGGAGTATGGGAAGAAAGAAAAATTAAAGTATTGTGAAAGCACAAATGATAAGAATGCCAACAACAATAATGATATTATATATGTTAATATTTTTAGTTATAAAAAAAAAAAAAATCTATAACTACTCATTATATAAATTATTAAAGTATTTTTCTATTTTAATCATAATAATGGTGTTTTATTAAATCTTGTGAGATTTGTTTAGTTAGAATTATTTATTAAAGTTTTCTAATATTTCATCAAGCTAATAATGATATATATTTGCCAAATTAGAATTAAGGTATTAAAAAAAAATAATATCAAAAATTAAAATTTTGAAAATTTGAAACAATTACTAAAGAAAATTTGATTTTTTTTTTTTTTCTTATATCAGTTTTCCATATATATATTTTTAGGTTGTACTTATTTTTTTTGGATTATATATTTTCAATATATATGTATATTTACACAACTATCAATATTTATATAAAAAATTATATTATAATTATTTACAATTTTTTTAAAATTTTACATAATACTAAATCGCCCCCTCCAAATCTAAATTTTTGACTCTGCCTCTGTCCAGGAGGTAAATTCTTGAGGTCTTGCTTTCGAACTGTACTCCCGACTTGAATGATGCGTGTAAAAAAATAAAAAATAAATAAAAAAGATAACTTATAATAACTTATAATATTGTAGATTTGTAATTATCACCGCAGCTAAACTTTCAAAGGAGGACAACACTATTTTCTAGTACAATGCTCTATCCTAGTGTCTTCAATTGGTTGATAAACACACACTTGTATGTATATGCTTATATACAGATGACTATTATTTATTTGTTTGTGAATATGAGCTCCTCCGAGTGTTATTTCACAAAATGAATGGGAAGAATAAAAACCCCTATATTTTCTAGTTTAATTATAAGCTACTTTTCAATTTATAATAAACCAAATCATTGAAAATGCTAAAAAGAATATTTTCTTGAAAGCATCAATTGCAAGAAAACTACCCCTTCTAACCTGATGAAGTCTAAGTTTTCAAATTGTCATATCATTATTATCATCCTTGTTGTCTATTACATCAATTCTCTTTGTTTTATTTTATTATATTATATGTAATATCTCTTCTAATATCTTTTTTTTTTTTTGAATTACCACATCTAAAAGAATATATTAATATCCATCAAAATATAAATTTTAATTTAGGGCTAATGTCAGCTTGTTCTTGTGTAAACTATGAACATTAAAAGTTATTAGTTTGGTAATTATTTTGAAAGTTGCTTGGAATGTGTAATTAGAGGTTGGAACTTATTAGTTTGGCAATATTTTCCCCAAAAAATGTATAAAATGTGTTGGTCACTCAAGGTAGGCTCACTATAGTTATATGACGTATTCATCAATTGTTCAAAAAGTTGCCTATTTAAGGATCCAAAATGTTAAAAAATTTGATATTACAGATTGAAATCTGAGTTAAGTGGATGCTAATTTTGCAATTAAAATGAAAATGTTACAGATTGAAATCTGCGATAAGTGGATGCTAATGTTGCAATTAAAATGTTAAAAACTGTTTGGATTCATGATTGAAATTTTGATTCTTAGTTGTCCTCATGGGATAAAAGTGGCTAAACCAAAATATCTAAAATTGTGCCTTGAAATTCCCTTATATATATATATAAATGCAAGTTTCTACATGGTCATGTTGAACAGTTGGGTTTATGCAATTATGTTGTTTATAGTTCCAGCATGTTTCTCTCAAAATGAAGTGTTTACGTGATATTGTTGAACACAAAACTAGATCATACATATAACAAGATTATACAAATTTTACTTGATTCACTCAAAATTAGAGTTACGTTCAAGGATTATAATGATTTTACTATGATGATACAAAAAAAAAAAAACAACTGTATCACAGAGAGTTCAGAATGAATAAATATTTCGTACTAGGGCAACATAGTAAGTGCAAAAATTACCAAAATACCCCCAAGTCGGCCTTGCTGTACAGTATCCATCAAGCTCCTCACACACGTTTACAGGCTAAATGATGCACGTGTTTTGTGGGACAAATCCGGAATTTGCAAATCATTGAGGATTCTAAGTGGCTAGTGACTTGTCTTATTAGTCCGAATCTAGCTAATTCTCTTTTTTTAGTTAACGATCTAGCTAATTGTCTTGTTTGCACTTTGAGAATGTTTTTCAAAGTTTCTTCTCCATTCAGCCTTGAAAGATTTGAGGGGCATCAAATACCCTTCAAGGCTTTTCACCCTTATTGTGGTGGTGAGGTGAACCAAATGATATACAACTTTATAGAATAATCTTCCATGTATATCTGCCAAAATGTTAGTGAAAAATCAGATCTTTTAGAATTTGTTGATACCTCTAATTTTATTAGTTAAAAATAAAGGTGAAACTTGGGTTGGGCAACCCAAATCTAACCCAATTTTTCGTAGAATTGGATAATTTTTTTTATAATTAGGGTTGGATCTAATTAAAAAATCTCAATTCAAACTTAATTAAGATTGGATTTAGATTGAGGTACTAGCAATCCAAACAAACCTGAATTCTATTATAATTTATATATGTTTTTTTTAACTTTAAATGCATTATATATAATTTACAAATTATGATCACCTTTTTCTTTTCAACTTCCTTTGTTAAATATTAATTTATTGTATATTAGCATTTAGTAGAATTACTTTTCTAAGCATTTGTTAATAATTTATTTAAAAATTTGCAATAAGTTGTAAAACTTTTTTTGTTTAAAAGTAATTTTATCTAATTAGCCATATGGATAACCCGAATTAATCCGACTTTCGAACTCGAAATCTAAGCCCCAATTAAAATCTGAATTTAAAACTAGAAGGTTGGGTTGGACTCAAGTGGAGTAATTAGGGTTAGGATTGAAGAAATGGTTAAACATTTTATACGTTGGGTTGGGCTAATTATACCTCCAACCCGCTCGAGTAGCATCCCCTAGTTAAACTATACATCTTTACTATGACAAATGTAACCATCAAATGCATTATTTTCTGATTGAAGACTGCAGTTTTGTTGATCGTTTGAGCTTTTTTGTCGTGCCATCTAAATTATCATTTCTAACCATGAATGCTAGTCCGGAATGGGGACCAAGTCTCTGATCAAACCAAGTTCTTTGAACTAATTTAGTTCATTTCTGAATTACTTACTAATTTGTGTGGGGGTGAAAATTCGAAGTCATGATAGTTTTTGAAGTTCTGAGTCTCTTAAAAGAGTAAATTATAGACAAGTTTGGTGACTATGTTAGAAATTGCTAGTGGAATCCAAGTCATGTTTCAATGCTTTTGTCAAAAATCAGACTCTCTGAATATCTTTGCTGAGTCCTCAATTATGCTGATGTTTGTTACCCGTCTTTTCCAACTTTATGGTAAATGTTAATTCTGTCATAAATTTCTGAGTGTTATGTGTTTGTCTTGTTACATTATTCTTGCATATAACACAATTACACAAAGCATCAGCATCACCCATGTGAAGAGACTGGCTGCAGACAAAACAAGGTTAGCCCTGCTATCTCTTTCCCACACCGAAAAATCTGGCTAAATTTGTTTATCTAGATTGACCCGAACAATAATGGAAGTTTCAGCTGATAATGAAATCACACATTTGTTGGATTTTTTTTTTTTTTTTTTTTTTTTTTTTTTTCCATCTCTTGTACGGTTGTTCCTCAGTATGAAAGGTGTGACTTGGTTGTCATAGCACATTTGACGTCCCACAAACTTGCTCGGCTCACTGATAAGGTTTCGAAGTAGATTGGTTCTGGTTCTGGTTCTCATTAATTCTTTCCATGTCATGGAAGTTGATCCATCAGGTGACATGACAGGCAATTTTACGGATAATGAAGAACGACGTGGCCTACGACTATTTGGTGCCTTAGTGCAGGAGCTCAAATATGTGATGTATGTGTGAATCAACATAATATGTGTGAAAAATTAAAGTTTATGTATTTAGCTGTATAAATACTGAAATGCACATACTTGCTACGTTGCAAATAGTGATTCTAATGTATACTAGTTTATTGTAATCATAATGTGTATCTTAATTTATCGAAAATTATGATATAATTGCAGGTTTGGCTTCAGAAAAGTTATCAAATGCTGGTCTAGTGAATATTTTTGAGGCAATATCTTTAAAAACTAGACATATAGATATATGTAGATTGAGATTAAGAGGAGGGATAAAATTTAAAAGTACAGATAGGTCCTTTAACTTCAGATTTGAATGCTTTGAAGATAATTAAAACTCGAAATTTAGGTAATTTCAAGATAATTAGAGGTGGAAAATGGTATAGTCAAGATTGGAGGCGAAATTTTTTAGGATGCTTAGACAAGTATAATTTATGGCCATACATCTAGTTGTTCGTTGAATGAGAATGAGGATGATAAGATGGATGAGCGACGAGAAAAGCAAGGGTAGAATTAGAATCTATATGCAGTCGCGAAATTTTGTAGGATGATTAGACGAGTATACTTTATGGCCATACATCTAGTCGTTCGTTGAATGAGAATGAGGATGCTAAGATGGATGAGTGACAAGAAAAGCAAGGGTAGAGTTAGAATCTATATGCAGCTGCGAGAATAACGCGGTAAAATTAATCAGTTACAATTTGAGAAGGCGATGAGTATCTAATCATGCTCTAGGGCTAAAAATGAAGTTATCAAGGATTAACATGGTTCGACCTATGTTTTTACTAGACAGTCTCCCACATGGAATCAAAAAGTTCGCGGCCATCTCTCATCTTCAAGAACTATGCTATCAAGTTCTGAAACTATTTATTTCTAATTTAACTAATTGACCTGTCTATATTGCAGATTTTTTTCAGGTCACAATTCTTTCGTAGGATCCTAATCATCTCAATGTTTTTTTTCTTGTACTTATCTTTCTGTCCCCTAAAGTCAATAATCAAGATTGTTCAATTCAAACAATCAATTTATATAATGTGTAACATTTAATGTGGAGATATATTTTTTTGACAATTCAAAAAAGGTTAAAGATCGAAACACTTCATGCCGTGTGCACAATGCCACCAGCACACATGAAGGATGGAACTAGAAGAAAATGAAGTTATTCTTATCCGAAACTTTCAGCTGCAGTTACAACCTCAAAGTCTTTATCACATCACAGTACCTCTCACACCAAACTTGGCCTAAAAAAAAACTGCTTATTCATGATAAAGTCACGCAAATGAAACGGAAAAAAAAAAAAAAAAAACACTCTATACATGTAGCCGGAGGATGGATCGTTGCAGTTTCTAGGGAAACAATAAGCTGCGAAACCGAGATTGTAGAAGTTTGTAATAATAGACTTGTTTCGGAGTTTTTAGGTGTTGAACTTTTGTTCAGTTCTGCTGGTTGAGGCCTGCATTATCCGATAAAACATATATTTAATGAATCAAACACAAAAGAAAGGCTTTAGTCTTTAAAAAAGTTATATTTTGTAGGCAATATCTTGAAATTGTTCCAAATTTTTATATTTGTGATTAGAATATCTTCTGTAGTTCAAGAGCTGATTATATAGGCATATTCGACAATTTAATTAACACGTAACGAACTGGTGAGGAAAAAGGAGTTCGAGTTCTATACTGACCCCAACCGATGTCACAAAATTGCAGACTGCACATTTCACAGATCGTGCTCCGTATTGGTACATCAACAGCATCTGACAGTTCCCACAATTGACATGAGCTACCTGATTTGCTGTCAAAATGTACATTCTTTGGTCACCCTTTACTAGAAATATGGAGGGAAATTATACATATATATAGATCTTGTGATCTTGTTCTTGCCATTATAAGCTTCATACCTTCTAAGGCTAAATTGATGGTGTGACAACAAGAACATTGTACGCTTGTTGCTCCGCGAATGTACATGAGTAAGGTGTGGCAGCCTCCACAAACCAACTGAGCCATTTCTGTGCCTGTTCAAAAGTTCAAGCAATGACATGTAAGATCATTATGTTATAGGCTATTTCATAATTTAGTGCTGTTAGTGTCTACATAAGTAAGAGGCATCTCCCCTATAAGAGCTAGCAACTTCACCTCCTTGGAGATGGGAAATGTCCCAATTACCCCAACATGCTACTTATAAGTGCTGGCAACTTCTCCCTCCTCCCTCCTAGGCGATGTGGGACGCCACCCATCTCACGCAGAGAGGGGGACTGAATAAAACAAAGTTAAACTAATGTAGACGGGAAGATTTGAATCCAAGACATCCCAGAGCCAAGACTCTGATTCTGATACCAAATGTAGAAAAGTGGTTACAATCTTTAATTTAGCCTAAAGAATGACTCAATCCATACAACATTTTAGCGATGTTAGTGTCTACATATGTAGGAGGCATCTCCCTATAAGTGCAAGTAACTTCTCCCCCCTAGAGATGGAAAATGTCACAATTACCCTTGACATCCCCCTTATAACTGTCTGCAAATTCTCCCTCCTCCTCTCTCCTAGGCGATGTGGGACGCCACCCGTCTCATGCAGAGAGGGGGACAAACTGAATATAACAAAGCTAAATAATGCAGACAGGAAGACTTGAATCCAAGACATCTCAAAACAAAGACTCTGACTCTGATACCAAATGTAAAAAAGTGGTTACAATCTTTAATTTAGCCTAAAGAATAACTCAATCCATACAACATTTTAGTGATGTTAGTGTCTACATATGTAGGAGACATCTCCCCTATAAGTTTCAGCAACTTCTCCACTGATGATGTAAAATGTCATAATTATCCCTGATATCCCTCTATAAGTGTCAGCAACTTCTCCCCCCTTGGCGATGTGGGACGTCATAGCCTTTGCCACCCATCTCACACAGAGAGGGGGACAGACTGCACACAACAAAGTTAAACTAATGCAGCCGGAAAGACTTAGAATCCGAGACATCCCAGAACCCGAGACTCTGATATCATGTTAGAATGTAAGTTTTTGGTTAAAAAGAGGAAGCTGAGGAAGAAACATACCGGGAGGCGGCACAGCTGTGACTGCATTGCAAACAGCACAACATACAGAGGTTGCCCCTACTGGATAGAGTAAAAGGTTTCGACATCCGGAACACACAAGCTGGCTCTGAGTACCTGAGGACCAACACAGCTTTTCTAAAGAGTAGATCAACTACAAAAAAACAAAGTAATTGAAAAAGCAGAGCAACTCTGTATTGATGCAAATCCCAATATTACTTCCACCTCTTTTGTACGAGTTCTTGTCTCATTTTAAGTATTGGAACTAAAAACAATTGCAAACAATTTAATATACGTCCTCATTTGATAATTGAAGTTATTCTCTCTTACCCAATTCTTATAACCTATAATTCTAATCATTTGAGCTCTTACATGTAGTATTAAACTTAGTTTGGTTGCTGAGAAAACAGGGGGAAAAAAGAAAAAAAAAAACTGAAATTTGGCACCTCCTCCATTTTTTCAGCAAATCCAAGTAAAACTAGTACAGAATTGAGTAATATACCATTTGCAGGTTGTGTAAATGATGGCGGTGGCGTCGGATACGGAGCAAGAGGAACTGGCATTGTGAATCTCGCAGAGGAACTCACTATTCTAAGATCTTAGTAGTTTGCTGCTTCAAACACATGAATTGGATCTGTTTTTTCCATCCTTAACATTTGCTGGAAATAAAATAAAATAAAAACTATGCATGTGTGAGTTTAGATATGCATATGCATTTGAATTAACATAGAAAAGACCATAAATTTCAAAAAGAGATACACCAATTTCAAGTTACAGTTCAAGAGGAATGAAAAAAGTGTTATATCAATAGCAAAATCTGAAGATACCCATAATTAAATGTCAGTCTATTCACTGAACAAAAAGGTTGAGGACACTCTGGAATTTATGAATTCAACTGAACATTATGAAGTGGGGCAAACACATACCTCTTTGCTGGTTGAAGATGAAGTGGAGAGAGAGAGAGAGAAAGAGAGAGCGAGAGATGTAATTTGTAATTGACTAATTGCGCAAGGAGTAGAGTGAGAAAAGGTGGTGTTAAAAAGAGATTTATTTTACCATTGTCCAATCACCAAAATGAGTACTGAAGGTCTCTTTTTCGGAGATGTTTGTGGTGATTTCTATTTCTTTTGAAAAAATAAAAAATAAAAAAAGATTTCTACTTTTGTTGGTGGTATATCAAGATCAGGTTTGTCAGAAACTCTGGGCCCATCTCTCTCTTTCACTCACACACACACACACTCTCTCTCATACTTTGCTTTTAGTATTAATTTATTGCAAGCACGTGAGTGAAGGGTTCAGCCCCACGCTCCATTCTAATGGGGGTAATGGACAACTCAGATTGGGCCACGTAACCTAACTATGCATGAAGGTCCTTCAATTCAATCTCACTTGGATTGCTCTGAGATTTGAATTGTAAAGGCTTGGAACTTTTTGGTGGTGGTCCTGTTCCCCATTTTGTGCCAATGTCTATGCATTATTATGAGTTTATGAGACTTGCTGATGTTATGCGCAAAACATTATCTTTTTAGTTAATTCATAGAGTACAAATGGACCCGCATGGACGCACAAGTACTGCACTATAATTTTGAGGTCACGAGTTTGAAATAAGAATCACTATTTTGTGTCTAAATTGGGCATTTGCCCTGCCTTGACGTGACATCACGAAGAGTAAAATCTAAGTAAGAAGAAAGATAGAAGAGGCATGATCCGGTCCCACTCCTAACCATGTCAGCAGTCTTCGCAACCATGTCCAACCTCATGGCCGTCATAAAATAGATTTTTTCAATAAGCAACTAGAACATTGGTTCCTCCATAATGTATACAATGAGTAAATGCCGAATATAACAGATGACTAGTAATGGGCGGAGTCATCTACTTATGTGGAATCAATAGACATCCTAGAAGGCCACGTACGTATCAATCCAAGGGTGATGCCTCACTTGCAGTCCACCTGGCATACATCCAACCAGGGCCTCGAGGATCTCAAACACTATAAATAGAACCTAACTAAGAAGGGATGAAGGTCTTGTACCAACACAACTGGTTTTCATATCTCTATCTAGCCCTGCGCCATCTATACTTAGTTTTACGTTCTTGTGTAACTTAATTTTCACTTCAATAAATCTACATGCTTTCCATATTGTAGCTTATAATTCTAGGTTTACACTGGTTTGCCTTTACTCAGTTTCATAGTGTAGCTTACAATTCTTCACTTAGGTTTACATTTCAAGCTTGTAACATGTAATTAATGGTCAACTATGAACCCTCTAGAATGTAACCAGGTCATTCTTCATTGTACTGTCCAAGAACTTGTAATTGATCCTCATTGTATTGTTCAAAGTTAATAAAGAGAAGGTTTCATCTTTTTTACAAGGTATAATAATTATTGTTTGTTTGTTGTTCATGTCCATAACTCCCATCTAACACATTTCAGGCTTAACATAGGCCTTTCATTAGGGCCGAAGTGATACAAACCTAAGAAAGGGTCATTCATGCTCTTCTCGATCGCCAAAGTTAGATGAAACACGAGAGAGCACACACTCACGGCTCTAAAATAATCAAATATATTTACTTGGCTTCCCCATTGGCCGCAAATACAGATCTAATGATCCTAGCGCACCCTTGCACTGAGAAATTACAAACATATCCCTAGAGGGAACACTTGGAGCCAAACAACAGCCTCTCTGTATGCAGAATAAGAGTACATGTAACCATTTTTAAGCCGCTAAATGGTGGAAACTCGGCTAGACCTTTAGCCCTTTAGTGCAAATGGGTTGTGTAAAATGAGAGGACAATAAAGAAAATGGATATGAGGGAAAGATCACATCAAGTTTGTTTTAAAAATATGGAGGAAAATAAAAAGAAAAGGAAGGGAAAAGTTAATCCCTAGTTAGAAGAAATGAAGGGAAATTTTTTGTTACCTTTTTCATTTTTATTTTTATTTTTTAAAAGTTTGGTTTGAGTTATTTAGGTTGGGTTAAAATATTTTCAAATTTTCACTTTTGATATTGGGCCTGTGTCATCCATAAAAATAAGAGATTTTGACTCATTTCTGATATGAAAGCAATGTTTCTCACAAATGATACCCAGCAGGTACTTTTCAAACTGGACCTATATAGGTGGCCCCTAATGTAACATGCCTCCTTCGTTGGTGGGGACATGAATTTACATTATTCTCCATAATTGCACCACATTAACACTGTGAGCACCAAATTTTCACTGTCACTATGTGTTTTTAGTCATTCCATTGAGAGGTATTCTTCAGCCTATCCAATCCTCGAAAACGCCAGACACATGTGAAACATGATATAAGTCATTAAAATTGTATCGATTATTACTACTTCCGTCTCAAAAATAGTGTCATGTTTTGAAAATTGTATTAGTTTAATGTATGAGAGTTACGATTCCCTAAAAGTGACACTTTTTATGGAACGAATGGAGTATTTTAGAATTGTTTTTGTTTTAGGTTTCTATTTTTATTCTAAATAAAAATAACATTTTTATTGTGTAGTATGTTTTTAATAATAATTGAAAGTATATTTTTTAATGTAAATTTTGTTGTGAGATTTTTGAAGTATAAACATTAAAACATGTTTGGTGAAAAAAAAAAAATGGTTAGTTAAACAAAAAAGTAAATTATATTGACCTCCTCGAAGGTTTAGGCAAATTACATATAAATAGAGTATTTGACCTTTATTATTTTGACCTTTCCTAAAAGTATAAAATGTATTTCATACACTTATCTAATTTAATTAAAAATATATATCAAACCAAAAGACTCTATTACCCTTTTATTTTTCCTCTATCTTTTAAAACACTATATTACCCTAACTATTTTTTATTTTTTTTACGAAAAAAAGAAACCTAATCAAATATCATTAATATATATATATATATATATATATATATATATATATATATTAGTGAAATTTAATAATATAAAATTAGTATGAAAATTGACTTTGCATTTCATGATATTTTTGTCATTTTATGTCAAAATATAAAGTTATTGAGGTCTTTTAATAAATAAATAAAAAGGATAACTTAATCATTTTAAAATTTTATTAACTTGAAAAGAGGGGCTTAAATGAAATCAAATCTTACCATACAACTCAAGGAAAAAACAAAGGCCAAAAAGATTTATAATACGACTTAGTTTATAATGCTTGATATTTCACTCTCAGAGTGGAACAAATGAGAGGTCAAGAAGGCCCATCGAATAACATACAAAGGTATGTGTGATGCAACCTAAAAAACAGATATTTCGTAACTTTTTCTTTCTCACTTTATGATTACTGTAATATAATTTTGTTTAGAATTAGTCACTAAAATCTAAAGTTTTCTAATTTTTCCTAAAATAGTTTTCAAAAATATGAAAAGAGTATTCTAAAAAGTTAGAGAGAGAGAGAGAGAGAGAGAGAGAGAGATTATTATCTAAATTTGGGTATTTTAAAAAAAAATTAAACAATTTCAAAAAAAAAAACTATAATTTTTAAAATTTTATTTATTTTTTCTGTTGTCTAAAAACTAAAAACGAATTTCGAAAATGTTTGGCAGGACTTCTTTTGAAATGACATAATCCTGATGTCATAAGTAAAAAATGTCATAGTTAAACTGGTTGCTCAGTCAAATGACATTTTCGAGGAAATGTGTATATTTCGGGTTGTGACTATCACAATGACTTGAAAGCTACCCTCCGAACCACGTCAAATGTATCATATTTTATTTTATTATTATTTTTTTTAAAAAAAACAAGTCATTGAAAAGTGCCGGTGGATTTAAAAATAAAAAATTAAAAGAAAATTTGTGAAGAATAACCACTTGAAATGATAATTACAATGGTTATGCGTAGTACCTGTTTAACCTGACTCGTTTAGACTCAAATCATATTTGATCGTTATATGTGAGTCAATATAACGTTGTTGTGTAAAATAAAGATCGATTCGATTGTATATTCTTATCAGTAGAAATCAAATTCAATTTCTTATAAATTATGAAATAGAACTTTTTTTTTTTAAGGTAAAAAATATTAAAAATTAAATTAACCTGACACTTCAAAGTTCGAAAGCAGTGAGGCACTAACACACTAAACTATCGAGATATCTAGTATAACTTGTCTAACTATTTTTTCTTCATTTTTGCTGCATGAGTTAGAACCAATTAAAACCCAAAACCAGCAATGCACTTCAAATTCCTACTCTTGATCAAATATTTTTGAAACCCTAAGAGACAACAAAAAAAAAGGGGAAAGTAAAAATGTACTATTTTAAAGGAGAACTAAAATGATATTTTATGAGGCACTAAGGATAGAGAATATAATACTCAAAATAAAATCTAGTGGAGAAAATTGAAAAGCCAAAAAGGGTAGGGAAGAAGTCAAGAGAGAAAAATAAGAGTCCATGAAGGCAACCAAAGCATGGGCAGTGACTCTTCCAAGATAGAGAGAAGTAGAGAACACTGCAAAAAAATCCAATAAAGCTTCATATATGTATATATATATATATATGTGCAGAGATAGAGAGAGAGGGACCACTTATTTGTACTTTATTAGGGCTTTTCTCCGCGTTCATTTTTAGATCCCAAATGGGATATTCCTATCACTTCTCTAGAATAATCCCATCAATAATTTGACAAAACTTCCATTTTAAATGTGTGTCCAAACAAATCCTAAGATTTCTTTTGATTTTCTTTTTAACTTTTTTGAGTTTGTGGATGTCTAAATTTTTATGGCAAGAAAGAAAAAAAAAAAAGAAAAAGAAAAAGATTTAGAAGCAATAATTATTAAAGAGCAAGTTATCAAATGATTTTGTAAGGATGGAAAAAGAAGAAAGAAAATTACCAAAATGTTCATCAAATCCATTGGAATTATATTTGAGGAAATATTATTTGGGTGGAAATCCGGGTGTGAGGAAAATTTAAATGGATGTAACAAAATATACAAAAATCAAGAGTTTTTTTTCCCGACGATAGTGGTATCAGACCTCTTAAAACACTTTATAATTCACCATCGAATACATACAGTTCTCCAATTCTACATGTATCGAAAAATTATCAAAAAAATTTCTAGGAGCGCCCTTAATCTTGAAGTCCAAAATGTAGTGTCTTTACCATTAGAGTATTCTTTTGAAAATAACATAAAGTTTAGACTTTCTTTAATTGTTCTAATCAATACACAGCCAATGAGATGTTGTTTTCTTTTAATTATATTTTATTGTCTTTTGTGGCATTGTCAGGGCATAAATTAATTAGTGTAATAATAATAAAGAAGTTCGACTCGACAAGTATGAGAATACGAATTTGACAACAAAAACATTCTTTTTGTGCAAAACTAATCTTCGTTCGAGTTATAACCTTCTCATGCTATCACTCTGCATATGTAGAACCCGGGTAACAATTTTTATTTATTAAACAACATTATCAAATTGAAATGATAGAAATCCAACCCTTATTTCTATTATCATTAAGTCTTTTTTTTTTTTTTTTTTAAGTGAAAAAGAGAATCAATATCCACCCACTTGGTGTATTTTGTTTTCATTTAGCTTATCAACAGACCAATGACCTCGATGATCTAAACAAGTAAAACAAATAATAGAAGATTTGGCACTACTACAAACATATATAATTTGACAAAACTTCCATTTTAAATGTGTGTCCAAACAAATCCTAATATTTCTTTGATTTTCTTTTTAACTTTTTTAAGTTTGTGGATGCCTAATTTTTTATGGCAAAAAAGAAAAAGATTTAGAAGGCTAGAAGCAATAATTATTAAAGAGCAAGTTATCAAATGATTTTGTAAGGATGGAAAAGAATGAAAGAAAAATACCAAAAAATTCATCAAATCCATTGGAATTAATATATTTGAGCAAATATTATTTGGGAGGAAATCGGGTGTGAAGAAAATTTAAATGGATGTAACAAAACATGCAAAAATCAAGAACGTTTTTTTTTTCCTGACGATAGTGATATTAGACTTTTTAGAGCACCCATAATTCATCATCAAATACATACAGTTCTCTGATTCCACATGTATCAAAAAATTATCACTATGTATATGTAGGACCGGGGTAACGATTTTTATTTATTTATTTCTTAAACAACATTATCAAATTCAAATGATAGAAATCCAACCCTTATTTTTATTATCATTAAGTTTTGTTTATTTATTTTTTTCTATTTTAAAGTGAAAAAGAGAATCAATATCACCCACTTGGTGTGCTTTGTTTTCATTTAGCTTATCAACCAAACGACCAATAACCATGATGATTTAAACAAATAAAAGACAAATAATAGAAGATTTGGCACTACTACAAACATGATTTGATGATATCTACTAAATTCATTACCTTTTATTCATTCATGTCAATTGGCCAACAATATCATGACACCTTAGGCCTTATCTCTCTATCGGCCGAAATTTGGACCAGTTTAGATGATTACAATCAAATCAATTTTAGTTGTTGATTCAAGACGACACAATATTAAATGGAATAGAATAGAATCTGTGGAGCTTCATGGTTTAGAATAAATGGTTTCATTATCACAACAAATACGTACGAAGAGGTCTTTATCTTGCTGTAATTAAGCGTTACAATTTGAGTCAGAACATGCGTCTTATTCTATGAGTCTCCACAAATATAATATGATTCGTGTTAAGAAATCTTAATAATTGACACGAACATGATATAATTATTAATATATAAATCACGATCAGATACGACATGATAAAACACGATCAATTGATTAAAATCAGGTTAAAATTATGAAATCACCTGGCCCCTTGTTTTTTAAAACGTCATATAAACCCCTTCAATTATCAAACAATTTCCTGAACTAACAAAAACTATCACGTTACTTCCTTTTCGTGACAGAATGGTTAACTTGTTACGAAATGACAATAATATTTTTATAGTATATTAATATTTTATTAAATTAAAATTATAGCGTGAAGGCAATTTTGTCATTACTAATTATAAAGTTATTTTGGTCAGCAAAATGATACGACTGTTACACGTGATTGTCACATGATACGATTCTGTAAGTTTTAGGCAGGTAACTAAAGGAAATGGGGAGTACTGATATGATAGACTTTTTAAAACACCAAAGGGTAATATAATAGTTTCTTTTATTGAGGAGTTAATTGATAGTTTTTGAAAACAAAATGAGAGTTTTATGATTTTAGTCCTAAAATTTCATATTTATTAGAAGACAACGCATTTCATATTTATTTGACAACGTTTTGTTAAATTAATCTAATCAAATTATAAATGAATTGACATATCAAACGTAAATGCAACACACTTAAATAGTGTATTAATTCAAATTAATACGATTATGATTTGAATAATGTCCCTTATAGTATTAATAATTTATAAACTGAAATTATAGTGTGAGAGGGGCAATTTTCTCATTGCGAATTATAAAGTTATTTTAATCAGTAAAATGATGTAACTTAGACGGGAAACTAGTGGAAGGGGATAATATGATAACTTTTTAAAACATCAATGGGTAATATAATAATTTCTTTAGTTGAGAGGTCAGTTACAGATTTTTAAAACAAGAGAGAATTTTATGAATTTAGCCCGAAATTGGAATATTTATTAGAAGACTAACGCATTTTCTATTTATTTGACATGTTTAGCTAAATTAATCTAATCTAATTATAAACGAATTGATATATCAAACGTAAACATGACACATTTAAATAGTGTATCAATTAAAATTAAACACTATTATAATTTGAATATAGTTAGGTCAAATTTAAATTCACTTTTAGTATCATGTTTGAATCGCGGTTGAGAGTCATGTCAAGTATTGCTATCATTTAGTTGTACTCCATAATAGTTTGGTTAACGACAACAAAGAAAAAAAATGGAAGAAAAGTCATATCGTGTTGTCGAGTTCCATATATAGCCCTGTTAGGTCAGATGCTGACTTTCAATCTCTTGGCTGCCTCCTACATGAACAACTTCTCAACATTTAAATATCTATAATTCTCTGGTAAAGAAATATATATATTCATGATATATATACATACATATACATATAGAGAGAGAGAGAGAGAGAGCCGAGTAGGGCATGCCTTGTGCCTAAATTCATAGGCAGGCCTATGTGGTGTTTAATGACCCACGTAGTCATATGCTTTCATTTTGCATGTGAGTTGTTGGATCACAAGCAGTGAATTCCAAATTCATCCATATATTTAATTTAGAGAGAGTACATATATATGTGTGTGTGTATTATATCTGCAAGGCTGCTGTCTCACAGTGCAATTCTCCGTATAGGTACTGTGGATGAAGTCATTATGTCTGAAAATAACAACACACATTCTATCTCATTCCCTATATATATATATATATATATATATATATAACCCATATTTCTATCACTCATGCATAGGTAAAAGACGGATCAAAATTTTCTCCGGTGAGAGAGAGTTGAGGTCCCATCCCATTGGTGATGTTCGCTACCATCAATAGTAACTCAACTCACTGGATGAAGTTTGCATCACCAATTGGATGGGACCACAAATTCCTTCCACGGGAGAGGATTTTGATTCGTAAAAGATATCAATGAGACCGTGGTGTCTTCTATCACGGGAGAGGATTTTGATCCATAAAAGATATCGCTTTTACCTTCCCACTTGAATAAAACAACATTAGAATACTAACCACTTAATTTTGGTCCATTGACATCACAACCATACCACTTCCTGGCTGAAATGAATGTCATGTACATTATCTCATTGTTTTGTCTGCGGACCCAGAGAGTTTAGAAACTCTCTCAGCAAAATGGTCACAGTTTTTGTTTGCTAGTGTAGGGTCTTCCTTGGCCCGAGTCTTCTCTCCAAAATGAGGCTGTTGAGACACTGCTCTCATCTACACCTCCCTTTTTGTCCACAAGTACGCACGGCATATCTCTCTCTCTCTCTCAAATAAATCCAGAACAAAAACATGAAAAGATCTTCAGATAAACATGTGTAACAAGCTGGCATATATGGTTGGTTAGTATTAAACAAAATTATTAACTAGTAAATAAGATATCAAGTAATCCAAGTCCAATGTAATCTTTACAACCCAGTTGCATTTCGTGATTTCTTTCATGAGAAAAAAACAATTTGACGACGTGAATTTAGTCAGTTGGATCAACCTTTTTTGGAGGGACATTTCACTGTTCTTTGACGTACAAAAGTTCCGGAACTTAAGATCTTTTGATTCTCTGCAACCAGATAAAAGTTTCCGTTAAAAACAACTTACGTGTAGTGAGTTACTCTTCGTCATTTTCAGCATCGGCATTTCCATATACGATAGAGAAATAGTGGCCTAATGTTCTCAACGTGAGGCCTGGAAACCTGTGAGAACTCCCCGGTCGCAGATCAATTTTAACGAATGGCCATCCCATGGCTTGTGCGGCGTCACACTCTTCCCATCCATCCCCAATCACACAAAACTGGACATTTGACCCACTGAATCGCTCCCTGATTAATGAGAAACACTGGAGCTTCCCCACTTCCCATGAGCTGTAGACTGACAAACAACCGAATTGTTAGCATTACTATCAAACATATTCTACAAACTAATCTGGTATTAAGATCCATAAATTAATATCTAAAACCTAAAAGCATTTTTATATAAACAGTACTTAATAGATGGGAATAAGGACCAGAACTGTGCAGTATCCGTCAAATGGTATACGAGACAATCTTCATAACTTGCTCTTTTGCATGTCCTTTTTCAACTATGCATGCACGTTTGTGATATGGTATCTTTCAAAGGCAATTTTGGAACCAAATGAGTAACTTTAAATGTACGAGTTGCAGACCGTAGATAATGGAATTTGATGTATTAGTATGAACTATGAACTAGGTAGCACTAGACTAGGTACCGACAAGGAAAGTTGACAAAGTTGGGACTAAAGAAGGGTGTATGAAAGAGATGTCATGCAAGTGAAGGTGCACAGAAAAAAAAAAAAATACTAAATAAATAAATAAATTTGACAAGTGAAGTCAGCATAATAAACAGAACCACTGTAGAATATGCAAATGTGAAAGGAGAGAGAGCATAGGCATTTATGACCACTTATGGCATATAAAATCATAAATACACTTTGTAGTGGCATAATGGCTGACAATTAAGAACTTCTGCTTGAACTTTTATTGAAGGTGTTCCTTAAGAACCCGCAACCGTGTTTTCTGCAGAATTTCTCAATTGGAATCTGTTTGACGGTTGGGGAAAATTGATCATTAAATGGAAAGTTGAAATTGCTAGCAATGTGTTTGTACCACAAAAAACAGGTGCTTTTATGTGAACAGTGTTGCACTTCTTCAAAGTACTGAGGTCTTGTTTTTTTTTCATTTTTTTACGAGTTGCAGGAAGTGTAGAAAACCATAATAGTCTTCTGTCATGCGAATCCTCAAAAACATCACCAAATATCTTAAAGAGGGTTCTCCAAAACTATTAACATTTGTTTCCCTGATTTTGGCTTCTATCATAAATTCAAAACACTGATTTGCCCTCCATTCTAAAATTTCTAGCATAGCTATCCAAACTGGACTGGCCATCAACTGTTCTTGATAGCCAGTCCATAGGTCAATTAAATCAACCTTGGTTAGCTCAGCTGCCTCATCCAGCTTGTGAAGCATCAAATATTAGGAAATCAATGAAATTATTCATAGAGGCAGTTATAGAATAATGGTCAGTGGTTAATAATGCTAACTAACAAGTTGAAGGTTCAAATCCCTTCAGTCCTATACCTCTACTATGTTTTCTAGCAGAAAGCATTGAAGCCCGGATCAACTATTTAACAACAGATAGGTGGACTAGCCAATACACCTGTTCACCCAGCCTATCTGGTCCAGTACTAACAACAATGCTCTCTGGAATGTGTACTACCTACTTACCCGCAATCAATGCCTCTAAATCTCCGGTTCTTGGCATATATCATTGCATATTCACTTAATGCCAACAGTCCAAAAGAACCATACTCTTTCAACCTTCTACTAATACTTGGCTTATTCCTTTTTAAAAGAGGCTCCAAACATAAAATTAAATCTCAAACTTGTCTACTTCACCAATCTTGAAAATTTCCACTATGTAGTATGTTCTTTACTGCAGGTTTTGGAGTTCTCTCTAGCTTCATTCTCACATTCAAAACCTCCAGCCGAGAAAAGTGCACACATTTTCAAGTTCTCTCATTCAAGCTCCTCAGAGGCATGGATTTAAAAGATCAGATTTATGACGATATCAAATTGATGTCACGAATATGTACATACAGCTATCAAGCCTATCAACATATCCCAATATCAATATATTATTGGCACCAATACAACATTGTCAATACACTTATTTACATCGATGCTCCATACTTCATGATCACAAGAAGATGTTTACAATCACAGCCAATATGTCAGATCCCAGATTCCTCTTCCTTATTTTTTTTCTCTTCTGTTGCTCACTCTCGTTGAAGCCTAAAATGAAAAAGACAGCTTTTGGAACCCTTACTATTACTTGAATGTTTTAAGATCAAAAACTTGATTTTAGAGGGAAAGTTTAGGATTTTCAGGATAGTTTTTTTCTCCATTCAACAAAAAAGAAGAGGAATTCATTTTCTTTTTCAGTTTGAATTGGTTAGAAATATAAGATCACTTATATGCAAAATTCTAATTCCATCGTTCTAGTTATAGTGCAAAAAAGAAGAAAAAAAAAAAAAAAAAAAAAAAAAAATCATATTTTTAAATTTCCAATCTTTTCTTTGCTATTTAAACAATCCACATTTCAAAAAATACATAAATAAATAAATAATAAACATGATATTTGAATGTTTTGACAATGTTGACATAGATTTATAAATATTTTAAAGAATCATGATTTTGGTTATGCATGTGTAGCTTATGGAATATTAAATTCCAAAGGCTTACTTATCTTTTGGTTGACAGTACAGCAGCACCGGCTATGACGATTTGGACTATTTTTGTGTATTAAATAATGCATTATCCTTAGTTCATCGTTTCAATATATTTTTCATTGTAATTTCTAAACTGTTTTCCAAATTTATTGAACCTTTTAGCACTATTGAAAATGCACCAATACGTACAGTCTGTTACCAACCTCTATCACAAATACTTAAAATCATAGCCCGCTAATCCAAAGATCAAAACAAGCAGTTGGAATTATAGCTTAAAGGCACTATGACAACATCAAGCTGAAAAATTCACAAGTTAAGAATTCTGTAGAGACCACAAGGAGCTCAATAGAATGTCAAGAAAGGATATATACAGTTGACCTCAATTATTTGAGTATCAAAGGTTTGTGCATTCGAGTTTTTTATACTGGTTTAGGCTGGCTATCAAGTAAACAATAGCCTTCTTGCAGGTAGTTCAAGCTAATTTAAGTAAAATGTCTACCAAAAAAAAAAAAAAAAATGGAGTTTGTAATGTTTTCAAAGAAAGAAGAACATAATAAAATCAATAAAATATATAATAAAGCTAGTTTATGGGGGATAATACCCTGGTTATTTTTCAGCAGATAATTTCCCCGGTAAGTTGGCAATTAGTTCTGCATCATTTAGTTTAACAGTGATAATAGATTTCTATGCCCTAAAAACCAAGTCACTGTGGCCTGATAAGCATTAAAATGAAAAAAAAAAAAGAAAATTAAAAGCAACAAAAAAACTAGTCATAATACAGGCATAAAAAGAAGGTGCAATAAGTGCATTCCAAGAGATCATTAATGAGATAAAAAGAGTAACTGACCATTCTCACACGTTATCAAATCATGCAGTTGAAAGAGTAAGCATTTCACCGAAGAGACTAGTTATAAGATTGGGCACTTCAAGGAATCATTAAGGAGATAAAATAGTAACTGACCATTCTCATACGTTATCAAATTATCCAATCGAAAGAGTAAGCATTTGACAAGACTCGGTATCAATGATCCAGAAGTCACTAGAAGATTGATGTTCTGAAATTTTGTATCAGTAGAGTCACTTATCCCATCAGCTGATTCTGTACATGGAGTTGACTCTTTGCTCCCTCCTGAGCACTGCTCCAAACAAGCCCGAGCTGCATCAAACAAGGCAAATAATATATGCAAAGAAAGTCAATGCAGAATTTTTAGACATACTTGGGTTTAAGTTAGTATACTAAATCATATAACAAGAAAAATTACTCGCTGATGGCGGATATTTAAAGTGACAAAGTGAAAAATATAATTGAGACCACTGTCTTATAACCCTACTTATAAAGCATTTAATGTAGATGGCATCAAGGCAATTTTCCAATCCCAATGAATTAAACGAATGATGGTAGTGCATGAGCACAGGCATGCAATATCTTGCATGAACATACATATTGTGATTTTCCTGAAGGATGGAACACCACACATTTATGAGGGAGGAAACATTCACAAACACCTTAGGTTACTAATTTGCAGAAAGGTTAGCCCAAAACCAAGTGTCACGACCTGCCCACACTGTGTAGATATCGTCCACTCTGCACACTCTCCTATTGGTGCTCACGGTCTTTCCTCAAAACACATCTACATAGTTGGGGAATGTCCACACATATTAGTGTCATCAAACCTCTCCCCCCCAGATGACGTGGGACATCATAATCACCCCCTCTTGGGACCCAGTGTCCTCTCTAACGTGAACCTCATGGGCTTGTGCATGCTCCCCCATTTTCGGCAGGGGATTGGTTCTGATACCATTTGTCACGACCCGCCCCAACCTGTGTAGACATTGTCCACTTTACATACTCTCCTCTCCGTGCACACAGTTTTTTCTCAAAACGCCTCTACACAGTTACAGACTGTCCACACATATAACTGTCATCAAAACTCTCCCCCAGGCAATGTGGGATGTCACAATCACCCCCTCTTCAGACCCAGGATTCTTGCTGGCCTGAACCGCATGGACTTATGCACACTATCCCCATTTCCGGTTGAGGATTGGCTCTGTTATTAGTTGTCCCGACCCGCCCACACTGTGTAGATATTATCCGCTTTGCACACTCTTCTCTTGTAATGATGACGAATTGAATTTGAGACACCAAAAATTTATTTGAGAAAGCTTTATTTGGTGACTATCTGTTGGATATGGGGAATGAGTTGGTTAGGTGGAGTTCTAACAGCTTGTCTTGAGTATGGCTTTCTTTCCATTACTTGCCACTCTTGTGAGAACCTTCCGCTCCTTCTGTAATGGTTTTCTTTCTTTGGATAACAGCCAAAGACCACTGTTTGAAGGTGGGCCTCCTGATTAGTAGGTACAAGGAAGTGTAATATGCCTAAAGATACCAAATCAGAGACCATCTGTTCCCCTATTAGTGACAGGAGAGTTATGCTCCGTTTGGTTGGAGGGATGGAAAAATAGATGGAAGGGAGAGGGGGAGGGATGGATGAGTCATCCCTAAGGAAGGGAAAGTGTTTCCTTCATTTTTTGTTTAATTGAATGGAAGGGACGGCAAAAAGGATTGATGGAGTGCTAGTTTTTTTTGTTTGGTTGGAAGGAAGGAAATGATAGTTTTTATATATTTTTTACTAATACACCCTTACTATATAAAATTATAAAATTAATTAGTTTAAAATTATTTAATAATATTGAGCTCTACTAACACGCAAGTTGTCTAAAATGAATGTTTTATACTTACATACCAAACAAAATTTTTTTTTTTAAATTAATTTTTTTTTTACATACCAAACAATTAATTAATTTAAATTTATTTAATAATCACTATAGTTGTTTAACGCAACAAGGTTTTAACAAATTTTTAGGAAGGATAAAAATGGAAATTATAACAAATTTTGGTAGTTATCCTTTTTTCAATCCACTCTTCCCCCAAATTTGGGCGGATAGGAAAATGTATAGCAAGGAGGGATGAAGCATCCCTCCTTGCTTCCTCCCTCTCTTCCCTTCCCTCCAACCAAACATGAAAACATTCAACCATCCCTCGTACCATCCATCCCTCCCCAATCCATCCCTCCAACCAAACATAGCATTAAGGTACTCTATGCTTTCCTATGTGGACAGTGTTGGGGCTCCCTAGGATGAGGACCTTTTGCTTCTAGAGTGTGGATCAAAAGGCACGATAAAGTATTTTTAAGACAGGTCCCTCTTTTTCTTCTTAGGCATACTTGAAAAGGAAATCAAAAAAAAAGTTTTTGGAATATAAGAGGGACTTAAAATCAACTCACTACTGTCCCTTTTATTTATTTTTTTATTTTTTTATTTTTTATTTTTTTGTTGCCTTTCTCCTCTCATTCTGGGAAGTATTAATAGACATTTTTTTCGCAAAGTTAGTTGAAGAGGCATAATATGTTGCATTCATGTTTCATGATATATTTATTCATCGAGACGGAGGGAACCATAAAGTGAAAACAAAAAGTATAAGGTCCATGTCCAAGTACAAGTGCTTTTTCCAGAATATTTCACCATTAAAAATGGAATTAAGGATTTGTGAAAAGAAGTGATTATTAGCTGATGAATTATAAGAGAGGCAACTACTTCCTATTTGACAGTGTATAAGGGATCAGAACTGGGAATATGGAGGAAAGGGCGGTTGCTATCTCTACGTGGGTCTTTGAAAAATTTCGTGGTTATAGCTCTTATACAGAACAAGGGCTCCTTGTCAAAGGCAATTAAAAATTAAAAATTAAAATAATACTTTCAGGGTGATATCCCCACACCAAATATCATGCCAGAGGCTCATTTTGAAACCATTGCCAACTACAAATCCAGTATTTGACTTTCGAGGAATTCCATAGGTCAAGTGCATATAACACACCTATAGTATGCTTAGGGTGCATATTGCACCCCTCGCGTGCAAAAAACACCCCTAAACTATGACATTTGTGCAAATAGGTCCTACTTACACATTTATGATACAATTGGACTAAAATGCCATTAGCAACACAGTTTATAATATATATATATATATATATATATATATAATTAATATTTTGTGAAATGATTAAAAAGGGTAGCTCAAAAAAAAAAAAAAAACCACCTTCCCTCCTCTTTCTTCTTCTTCCCCGGTGACAAGCTCCAACGGGCATTATTTCTAGCGACAAGCTCCAACGGTGGCGATGCCTCTGATCTCCAACGACTCCAAGCAAAACTTGGTCGCTACACTCAACCTACACTGTCATTCCCAATGACGATGTCACCCAAGACGCGTGGCAGCTCTCTCTCAGTCTCTCCTCTCTCTCTAACACAGACTACAAGAAAACCCAATACACGCAAGAACCCGAAAAAGCCATCAACCAGTCCAAGCAAGAACTCAAGTTTGGACAAGCTTTTCCAGCTACGTCTTCAACCCACCTCTGCGAAACCCAGTCCGGTTTCTTGAGCTTCAGTTTCACGATCGGCATGAAACTCCAGGACGACGAATCCATCTTTCTCAAGCTTCGAACATGAGCTTCCATTGTTTCCGGTGCAGCTCCAAGTAGCGAAACCCAGTTCACATCGGCAGTTCCCAAGCGACGGCAAGCTCCTAGCGTCGGCCAAACCAAACTCAGTCCGTGGTTAAGTTCAGCGACAGCAGCACCAACCAATTGCACTACTTGATTGGTTTACCAGTACACTACTCCTGACGTCACACAACATGAAGATGCTTCTGGTGTTTGTATATATATAATCATATAGATATTTATGTTCACATATATCAAAGGATTTATCATTTGAATCAATTATTTGTTGATTATTATTAAAATCTTAATGAAAGATGGATTAGCTGGAGTGTTTTTTGTTTTTTTTTTTTTTTGGATCCAAAGTAGGTTTGTTTACACTCAGGAAAGAGAAAAAAAAAAAAAAGTGGGTTTGTTTCAAAACAATAATTTTGTTGATATGGATATATAGAGTGTGAGAGAAAATTTAATTATAGATGTTACTTTAATCCTCTTGATTTCAAGAGTGAGAATGTAAAGATTGAAATTCATTTTAAAGAGAAGGTCAGTAGCTACGGTGATCAAGACAGGAGAGATACATGAAGCCAGAGGAGGTGTTGCTAAGGTAATCTAGCCAAAAAAATAGGTAATGTGCACATAACACCCCTATATTATGAAATTATTAGCATACATAACCCTTTGGGCATTTTTGGAAGAGTAAAAGGGCAAAACGGGTATTACAACACTAATTTATGTCAGATTTCTAATTGAGGGGTGTTTCCGCACAATGTGAAAAGAATAGGGGTGTTTTTTGCACCCGTTTTCAAATAAGGGGTAAAAGTGCTACGCGGAATATACATTAGGGGTGTTTTCTGCACTTGACATGACTTCCATCCACCCTGTCCTAATACCCTTCAAAAGCCCAAACCTATATGAGCTCCATACCTCCCTTTGAGGTTCACCCCTATTGCCATCCCCAAAATTCCCTTTCACTTTCCTCCACATGCTAGATTTCACAACATATCAATACAACCATTTACTTAACAAAGCTTGATTAAATTATCAGAATATCCTCATTCCAAGCTCTCCAGAATTTGAAGGGCTACACAGTCTTTGCACCCACGATTACTCAATAATTGATAAATTGACGTCTCATCATTCAGCTTTAACACAACTATATACTCATCTACCTCCCAAATTTTCCAGCAAAAAAAGTGAATATGCTAAACTTTCAGAATAAATTACCTACGTAAGTGGCTGGCAGCCCAGCACCACAATAGTTAAATAATAAGACTGATTAAGGAAAAGTATTTTCTCTGGAGATGCATTATCATAACATAAAATACCTGAGGAGAGCCATCTATCTGTGTAACTGTCAGTCACATCATACAGATCATCCCAGAATTTTATCATATCATGACTAAACATACCATGCAAGCCCTGCAACAAAAGATGACTTCAGTTTTTCTGCTAAATTACACTCCGATGTCATAATATATACCGAGACACTGATATAAAATTCTTAAATGAAGACAAGTGACGGAACAGGCCCTTACTGAGGAATTAGGAAAGAAGTGAAAACAGGTGATGAGCTGGAAAAAACAAGATTTTCCACAAATTACCCATGATCAATACCCTGTTCTGGTGTTACAAGAGTTCAACCTGAAATCGAAGTTTATAACTCCACGAGGCAATATTTACTGTTTTGGGTCTACTTTCCATGAACTTAAACATACTAACTCAATCTGAGAAATACGAGAGCTGAATGAGGCCAAAATGCAGAATCTCATGGACAAGAACAATAAATAATATACCATCACAATTTGCTAGCACATAGTGAAATTTGAATCAAGTGATCCAAAAATGAGGAACACTTCCATTCCGAACCACTAGATCAGGTGACCACAAACTTTGTCTTAGTTCTACCCTTATTTACCAATTGTGATGGACTATAATGAGTACCTTAGTGGAATATAATGTTTTGGGACAAAGGATTCTGACGTAGCACAGACTAAAAGACCAACATTTTGCATCCCTACATTGTTATTTCAGATTAGAAATACTTCTGTAAGTGTACAAAATTTTGTAAGATCTCATGTATGGGATTGCCAAGTGTTCCGAATTTCTAAATTTGTTCATGATAATTTGGGAATTTGCACTGCATTTTAATTTTGTGTATCACTTCGCTTTAACTAAGACTGAACTCTATAACTGATGCAGGGTCATAATTGTTCTCATCAATGAATTCAAGGACTATACTTGATATCATCACAAATATTATTATTCGAAGTTTTTTAGATGACTCCTAGCATGCAGACTGGTGTGATTCCTAAAATACAGCATCTGCTCGAAAACTATACAAGTCAGAGACGCAAAAGCCAAAGGAAAATTTGGGGGGAAAAAAAGGCAAAGTTGTTATCAACGCCCCTAAAGGGGATTCTACAATTCCTGTTATATACCATAATTCAAGGATGAGAATATTATGAGTTACAATATTCTGTAAGAAGCTAATTCAGAAGGGGGCTATGTTCCAGTTTTCTAGACTAAAAACAGCTGACATTAAAATTCCAGTGTGATGGGATAGTGCTGGAATTACCCTTGTCAAACCTAATTAATTGGTGAAGACCGATATCATGTGAAGCAATGACAAGAGAATTGACCAATTTAACATTTCCAACAAAGAGGTAATGGTAGAAGCTTGAATTGAGAAAATTGGAGATTTAAAAAGATTTCACCTTCTCACATTATATGCTTTATTCGGGAACGTCCTAGTGGATTTTAAAATGCTGGGAATCAGAAAATGCAGTATGTATTTTACCAAGATCAATCAATTTCCAATCAATTCTTTAGAAAAAATAAAGGAAAGGAAAAAAAAGGGAAGAATTTATATGTGCCAAGTTGTAGTTGAGATTAATTATTTCAACTTCTGCAACTTTAAGCCTCTTTTCAAATTAAATTTATGTTGCCAACATGACATTGGTACCACTGCCACCACTGCAGCACGCCACCATCAAGCCAGGTCTCCACTTCCATATCATTTTTAGCACAATGCCACTACCACCATCGTTTCACCCAATGCCATCAATCCCCTAGGAAGTTCTGGATTTCTATATCATGAGACTGGATAATACTCAAGTTGGAAGCCCAGATAACGTACATGGGCAGGGCACAGAGACATGCAAATTGTAGTGGCATTTCTTAAGTTCATAAATTAACTATGTCAAGGTGAAAATGTGATTTACTCCCAACTCTAACCAATTGCCGGTGTAAACCCAAAAAGGAACAAGAACCTAATAAGAAGTTGCAACATTCATTAATGAGCATATCAGTCGATAATGAATACCATCTGGCAACATTAAAAGTCATTGACAACAATGGTACAAGCGCCAAATTCAGAAAGTTGAAATAAGAACCAAAAAGAATTCAAAAGCACACAAAGAAGGCTAATCTAGGATTAAATGACAAAAGAATGCAACCAGAATTCTACCTAAAAGAGAATAGATCAGCTAACAGAAACCTTCAATCAAGTTCATGACAATCATGTCCATAAAAATGGAGATAGGCAATTAACAAACCAAGAAAAAATTCAAAGAAATTCAAGATGCAAAATGGACCCAATAATGATTGGCTTGGGAGGAATTGAACGTTAGGGATTCTATATAAAATGCTACTGTACTCCTCTCACAAAGTTTCTGACTAGTAAAACTATTGTCTCCAAGCATTATTTTTCTGTATCTGAGGGGTGTCGATCCTCTCCTTAATAGGGTTGGACATTCCACCCAGTTAAAGATCGGAGAAACTTGCAGTTTGTTTATAGTAGCTATTACTTCTTAAGGCGTAAAGGATAAAATATTGCAATTTCACTTTCTGCATTCTTTCCGTTTCTTTAATCAGCTCCTGCAGATCTTCGTATGGTAAGGATTTCACATGCATGAGGTTTGCTTCCTTTTTTACTTTATTGAAGTCTTACTTATCAGAGATTGATCAGATAAATAAAGAAAACATAATCAATTAACTATAAGTGATATTGAGGGCCATCTTATTTCAGAAGAAGTTGCTTGAATCTTTTAAAGTCATACACCTTTGTCATGGTTAGGATGAAAGTTCTTAAGGGATAAAAAATCAACTTAGAAGGTAATGCTTTCTTAGACATATTGAAAAATACGGGAGAACAGTTTTTGGAAATTTATCTAGCAAGAGAGTAATGTTAAAACCTTTAATGAATTGTTTCCAAGATATTGAAGTCTACCAATGCATAAATAAATGCATGCAACATGAGAATTGAAGAATCCTATATTTAAGTAGATACAATGAAAAACGCAGGAAGCATCCTTAGGCATTTAAGCAAATCACTATAAATAAAATGTACATATTCATAGTGAAGAAAGTAAATAATCACCCTACCGCAATAAACTCATGCCAAATGAATTCAAATTACTTTTGATAATGAAGGACCACATATTCATCAAATTAACAGTGAGCAATATGAATATTCATCATCTGAAACAACAAAGTATCAGTGTAACACATACACACAAGGTAACCGAAAAGAAAGTGATCAAAATCTTTAAGGGGTTAAAGTCCCAGAAAGAAAATCGATCACTTAATAACACAACAAATGATGTGAAAGGACAGAAAGAACACATGCTCAAAATATACATTATCTACACCTTTTTGTACTTATGGGCTATAATACGGTGCCGATAAGCTAATTTTCTTTTACTGATATCATCATGTGAGGGACTGAAGTCATCTTGGTGAAAATTATAATCAGAGAGATCCCGTCCATCATCATACTGGCTCAAGGCATCCACAAAGGGATTATTACAGTTTTCTATCTGCATCACGCCATCACAAAGTGTTAATTAGATTAAAGTTAGTTAAAAAAAAAAAGAAAAAAAAAAAGGACATATTAGGGAACTATGAAACTAATTCAAGATGTATGAGTAGCGAAAACAAGATTAGACTAGTGAAAATGCCAAACTTCTTGCATAAATGAGAATAGCACACTAACCTGTTCATAAAAGAAATTTTCATCGCTCACTTGAAGAATATGTTTTTCCCATATCTTCCCAATTTCTACACCCTTTTGTACATCCTTTAAACCATTGAACACTTCCGCATATGTTCCATTTAACAAAGACTTGAGCAATATGAGAGTCTCATCCATGTCCCATATATACACTTTCAGCTTCTGGGACTTGGGAATTTTACCAGAAGCCTCCGTATTTTGAATGGGAACAGTAAAATTGCCACCCCTTATTAATTCATCCATTTTGGTATCTAATGTAGCACTTGGAAGCAGATAGCTAGCCTGTTACACCATAATTCCTCAATTGTCAACGTCTGAATGACATGAAGTTTAACTCAATGCAGTGAAAAGAACCTCTTATATCACTTACAGGGAACATATATATACATCCAAGCAGCTCTAATGGCAGGCTTGCAAAATCAACTGCGGGTCCGATATGGGTCCCAAAAGCACAGCTCCTGCTATTGCAATATCAATAGTCGTATAAGTGGCTATAATTAAAGGAGCTGGTGTTCATTCGGTTCTACAATCCAGTTGCTTTTTTTGTCCTAATTTTATTTTTTCATTGGCAAGAAACGCACACACACCCACTTTGTCCTAATTTTGAGCATTCAGTACTTGGGAACTAAACTAAGTGCTTCACGAAAGAGCTCCCTACGTACATTTCATGTTCTTTACAATCTTCGCGTTACTTAGGATATAATATGCATATATATACGGAGCCTTCTTTCAAAGAGTCTTGTGTCCTTATCCCCTTCAATATAAATATATATATATTTATTTATCTTATATTATTCTTCAATGGCACCTCCCCTCAACTGAATTTCTGGTTCTGCACAAAATATCAATAGTCTTATAAGTGGCTTATAATTCATATAATTAACTTTGCCGGCGTTCATTCTGTTCCACAACCCAGTTGGTATTTTGGCCTAATTTTTGAACATTCAGCAGCTTAGGAACTAAACTATGTGCTTAATCAAAGAGCTCCGTCAGTACATTTTACATTCTCTACAATCTTTGCATCATTTAGGAGATATATATATATATATATCCTCCATTCAAAGAGTCTTCTGGGTTCTGTCCTTATCCGCTTCAGTTTAAAAGATTTTGAAATTATATTCTTAATTAAATTTCAGCCAATTTTATGGAAAGAACACCTCAACCCATATCCAATTCCAGTGAAACAAACAACCTTCACAATAATAATTATTGAGATGCAAATTAGATGAACCAATTTCGCAATACCCAGTTAGTGATTTTTTCAGAGGAAAATTGAAAAACGAAGAATTGCAATTAAGCCCTTTTTTTCTATACCTACGCAAGTGTGTGTGTGTGTATGCATATATATATATATATATATATATATATATATATATATATATATTCAAAATGCGATTCGTTAATGTAAACAGAGATTGTAAAATAGAATAGACAGAGATTATTAGAAAAAGAAGTGCTTACAGGTTCTTATGCAGATCAGTGGCCAGCTGCAAACCCTCTGTTTAGCGAATAAATCGCGGGGAAGAAAGGGAAGGAATAGGAAATTTGGGTGCAACGACGTCGTTATTTACTTTTTCGGTGCATTAATGAAAACTTGCAGGAGAGACCCGAGTCCAAATATATATAATATATATAGGGTGGTTTGCGCTACAATAATGAAATGGTAATTATATTCTTAATTTTATAAATAAATAATTATTATTTTTTAAATGACACATTTGTCCTTTCAAATTTTTTCTTCCGATCTCTAATCTTTAATATTTTCGGTCTTTTTTGTCAAGATAAATAATATTTTTTTTCTATGACCAAAAAAAAAAAAATTTATGTTGAATAAATTATTTCTTAAAAAAAAAAAAGATTAAAATATAAATATCTATTGAATAAATTATCCCTTTTGATAATACGGAAATATATATTGAACAAATTATCACTTTTGATGGGATCATTAGAAATAAAAAAAAAAATACCGCTTTTGACAGGAGTGAAAAAAAAAAAAAAGTCAACTTTGTTGAATAAATTATTTATTTTGATTGCACCAAAAAAAAAGTCCCCAATAAATTATCTCTTTTGACTGCCAAAAATAAAATTTTATCTTCTTTGAAAAAAAATAGTTAAGGAACTAAAGAAGGTAAAAAAATAAAAAAAAATTAAGTTATGTAAAGGGTAGTTATGATATTATAAAATAAGACATAGTGCATTAATGAATTGAAGAATTTTTTTGTCATTTTCTTTAAAAGAAAAAGATAAGTGAAGTACAATTGAAAAAAAGTAGAGTACTGATATCGCCTCCCAATATATATATTAACTTCTAAAAATTAAAAATAAAATTCATCCATGTGTGTGTGTGTGTATATATATATATACACATGGATGAATTTTATTTTTAATTTTTAGCAACTTCTAATTAAAATTGGTTATGGCATTTTTTTCTTTTTATTTTTCAAATTGTAAGGAGGGATGGATGTGACGAATTTCTTGCTCACCGATAAGCAAGTGATCATTTTAGTATCGTTTAAATTATTTATAGATGTCTACTTCAATTTTATTTGTTTATAATAATTTTTTGTTCTAATAAAACAAACACAAAAACACTTCAAAAATTCATTATATTATTTTTTTTGGTAACAGTTTTCTTGGTGATTTTAATTTATAACAAAGACGATTTGTAGTTGGTGTTAGTGATAATCTTAAACTATGATTTCTTTATTCATTTGTGTCTGTTTTAACTTCTATATTAAATAACCATTTTTTTAATTTTCTTTCCACTATATTTTTAAATTACTATCCTTCAACAGTATTATCCTTTCATTTTTCTTATATATATTTTCTCTCGTAACAGTCTTACTATTTTTTTTATTTTCACTTTAATTTGTTGAGACATTTTTTATTCTGACCTCCAAAGTCTATTTAATAGAAAGACTCTGGTGGACCGAAATGGGAACACCACAAATTATAGGGGTTGCTTGACATATTCAAGTCTGATTTTAAAATAATAATAATAATAAAAGAGTTTTTGACCTTTTTCAAAAATAAAATGGATTTACTGGAAAAGAAATAGAACTGTTGGAAAATAAATACATAGCTCTACTTGCAAAAACCTCCAACTTTTACATTTGACTAAAAGCTCTACTAAACGAAATTTTACACAATTAAAAAGTATTTAATTTGTTACCAAAAACATTTAAAAATAGATATTTGAAACTAAAATCGATTTTAGTATGTCCAACAGCAAAATCACATTCCGTTCCGCCATTTTCATCACTCTCTCTAAAAAATCTGTGTTAATAACAAAGATCTCTCCCTTGGGATTACAACACAGAGGTTGATTGAATTTCCTATAAAAACTGACTTTATCATCGGAGTGTAACCAGTTGGCATCCCACCAGTGTCAGGCCTAGTCACCATCCCTCTTCTTTTGCATAAAAACAATATCAATTTGGATCGTGCAGAATTTCGTATCAACAAATATCTTTTTTTAATTAGGACCAGAAAGAGTGAGCCCTAGTTTTAACAAACCCAAATACCATAGGCTTGGCTTGATTGAGTTTTTTTTTTTATTTTTTATTTTTCACATTTTGGGAAAACCATACAATGAACAAACACAGGATTCTAGGAAACCAAACAAGGGGTAGTGAAACTTGATCATGGTGCAATCCTGCTTGAAACAATACCATACCATGCTTTCTAATTTTAATGTAGGGGGTTGCATTTTATTGAACAGCCATACTTGCAAAAGCAAGACTATTGGTGTAATCCGTAGGAAGGAGGAAATGTGAGGTATGGAAAGAAAATAGGAAGTAAAGAAAATAGGAAGTAAAGAACGAACTTTCTTTGTTCGGTAGAGATGATACATGAAAAGAAAAGAAAATAGAAATGATGACCCATCCTTCAGTGGGCGGACGAAAAGAGAGGGAAGACAAGTTGACTATTATAAAAGTTTTAAATTAAATACTATCCTAAGTTATACAAATATTAAATTATAAAAATACTATCCTCTATAAATTACAATATTATAAATATTATTGAAAATGATGATAAAAACAATTAAAATGTTCTCTTTCAGTCTCTTTTAATGAAGATAGGAAATTATAATCTTATTTTCTTCTCTTCTACCCAACCGAACAAAAAGAAGGAAATACACAATCTATTCCCTAGGGATGTCTATCCCTTCCTCTCCCCATTCCATCCAATTTTTTTCTTTTATACCGAAAAGAACATATAACACACACACAAACACACAGTTACACACACCAATACAAACAATAACAGCAGCAGCAGCAGCAACAATAAGAGAAGAGAACATGAGCATCTGTCATTCTACAGGCTACAATGCAACTGCAAATGCAGCAAAACACAAAGGAACTGTTCCAAGACCACCCTCTTTGACTATGCCTAGATTTTGCATTAGTTTCAACACCAAATTATATCCAATATATGAAAATTGACTTTTTTTATGATGACATAAGGCCAATTACCTCATAGACCATTCATCGATCTCACAAAAAAGATTACAGCAATAAAAAAGCATTACATTTGTATGACACCATCACTGATGTCACAATAATTAACAAATGCCCTTATGTTGTCTCTCTTTTCACTCAACAAAACAAAACAAATAGTTGAGAACTTTGCAATCTCACAAATTGACTTTTTACAGTAAGCCAACAATATATATACAACTATTTATTGGAGAAAAAATAAATAAAAAGTTCTTCCCAAATATATGTATGTGTGTAAATACCAATATGAGAACTGGGAAACTAGCTCATTGGTCTGTGCCCTCGAACGTAATCTGCTCTCAATGGCAAAAGAGTGAGTAAATCCTGTACCAGAATCCTCTCTTCTTCTTCTTTGGCAGCCGAGACTTCAGCTCTCTCTTAGCAACGAAATCAGCCATGTATTGAACGACAGCCTAATGAATGAAGAAATCGAAGAAGTTAATGGTTTAAGCAAGTACGAAATTAAGTTTAACTCAATGAGCCAATGTTGTCAACAAATGTTACCTGAGCTCCAAGTTTAGTTACTTGTCTTGGTGGCACTTCCAATGGAGTCTCATCAGCCCGAAAAACTCTCAATTTTGACAGCAACCTGAAGGAATCGGGTAACATCGTTATTTGATCATCGCATATGTCTAACTCTTCAAGCATCTCAAGGTTTCCAATGGATCTTGGCAAGGCTCTTAGGTCGGCAAAGTTCTTCCCAACATTCAATTTTTCAAGACTAACGGCGAAACAAAGGCTTTCAGGTATTGATTCAAGTTCATTGAAACTAGCATCAAGTTCCCTCAGTTTTAGAAGATTACCCATTGTTGTTGGCAACCCTTTGATTCTGTTATAATGCAGAGTAAGAACCTCCAAGCATCCAAGCTTCCCAATTGCCTCGGGAAGAGCCCTGAGCTGATTAAAGTCTAATCTTAGCTCAATAAGAGATGAACAAGAACCAATTGTGTAAGGAACTTCTTGAAGCTCATTTGTTTCCACACTCAACCTCTCCAGGGAGATCAAATTCCCAATTATATCCGGCAAATGAGTAAACTGGTTTGAACTCAAATCAAGATTCATTAGGTTCACCAAGTTTGAGAAAGAAGGTGGTAGTGATTTCAACTTGTTTGCATGGAGGTCAATATCTGTTAAATTGAGTAACTCGCCGAAAGAGTTAGGAAGGTTTATTAGTTGGTTTGAGTGGACATCGAGCTTCGTTAAGGCCCTGAGGTAGCAAATAGTGGATGGAAGAGCCATAATGCGATTGTCGGATATGTTCAGTTCAGTAATATCCGTTAGCTTTCCAAGCGATACGGGAAGCCACTCCATCTTGTCCATCAGTTTGCCTTGGAGATCAAGAACTAGTGCTCCACTTTTAGCAGTTTTTTCAATTAAGGCTGCAACTTTCATTAGACTCAATCTCTCCTCATCTGCTTCACCTATAAATACACCCAAAACAGGGCTGTTGAATTTGTTTCAATTTCCCACAATTGTTCATTGATAAGGAGACTAAGATAAAATAACAATCCAATGTCACAAAACAAGAGATAAGAGAAAATTGTTGATTAGTTGATTGGTCTTGACAGATATAAATATATGTTTGGTCATATTTCCTTCTGATAAATTCCCAATATGAAAAAGTCAGCATAAAGCTCATCACTTCTCACATAAGAAAGAATTGACAATGGAAAATAGTAAACCTTTGTTTAATGATGAGATTGAGGACTAGATGGGACAAATTAACAATCCAAGGCCACAAAACAAGAGAAAAGATAAAACTGTTGATTAGTTGATTGGTCTTGGTAGAATCCCCAATATGAAAAGTCAGCATTAAACTCACCATTTTCACAAGGAAGAATTGACAATGGAATTTAGAAAAACATTGACCTTTGTTTAATGATGAGGCCTGGATGGGTTTATCAATTTGGGGTTTTCATATGTTCTTAACAATATGCAATCCATAATATTTTGCATATATTCCTAAAAACAACAAAAAATAAAATTCACAAAAAAAGAAGAAGAGAAATTCATGGGTTGATCAATTTGGGGTTTCAGATGTTCTTAGCAATATGCAATACATGATAATTTAATGATGAGGCCTATATGTTTTTCAATTTGGGGTTTTCATATGTTCTTAACAATATTCAATCCATAATATTTAGCATAAATTCCTAAAAATAAATAAAATTCACAAAAAAGAAGAACAGAAATTCATGGGTGGATCAATTTGGGGTTTTCATGTGTTCTTAGTAATATGCAATCCATGATATTTTGCATAAATTCCTAAAAATATATATATGTGAACAAAAATGAAAATAAAAAAATAAAAATTCATGGCCGGGTTGATCAATTTGGGGTTTCCATATGTTCTTAGCAATATATAATCCATGATATTTGCATAAATTCCTAAAAGAACAAAAACAAAATTCACAAAGAAAAAAAATGAGAAATTCATGCAAACCTAAAGAGAAGACAGTAATAGCCTTTGCAGAAGAACTTCTAATCAAACCCTTCAAATCATCAACCTTAGGTTCCTCAGCAACCCTATCCTTGATCATCACAGCTTCTCTTCCGATTTCAAGAACTGGGTCACCCAAATCACTCTGTTTCTCCATCTGGGTATCACCAGAAACCAACCCAGAGGCTCTCTGAATGAGCTCATCAAACCTCTCAAACATCTTGTCAAGCTCGACCAAGTGCATGGCCTCTTTCCTCTGCTCATGGCTCTGGAACAGCACCACGTTCTTCCTCACCTGCTGCAGCAGAGAGAAGAGCTCCGGTGGGACACCCTGTGGGCCCACTTGGTTGGAGATCTCCTCCAGCCTCGTCTCTTGCTCGGCGTTCACCGTCTTGACAACGGATATGGCTGCTTCGACCTCTTCAATGGTGGGTCTGGGCGGCAATGATCTGTATGTTCTCATGATCTCTTCCACTGTTTCTACATAGGCAGGTGGTGGGTCTTTATTGGGTGGTATACCCATGTCTCCAAATTTTTTGAACCAGCAAGAACTGGAATGTATAGACCGAGAGAGTCTCTGGTTTTTATGTGCGCTATATGGGGATTGATTATTGTTTTCAGTGTATTAAGATATATATATATATATATATATATATATATATATAATTTGAGCGAGAGGGAGTATGTGTGTGACTGTGTGTGGTGTGTACATAATGTATACATACATACATACATACATATTTATATATATATATATATATATGGAGAGAGAGAGAGATATTTTTATTTTATTTTTTGAACCTAAGTCACCGGGAATAAAAGTAAGAATTCTATTTGAGGCAAAATTTAGTCACAAATAGTTAAAACGACACTCGTTGAGCATAAAAGTGGAGTAAGAACGACACTAATTGAAAATCAAAAAGAAATGGGGGTAATTCAGCCATCCAAAATAATACTGTAATCAGTTTATTTATTAATTACCAGTTTAGGAAGTGAAACAAATTGAGAAGGCAATAATTACTAATTTGTATGACAAAGACAACCCAATCATTGTAGATAAGGTTAGATTTCAAAATAAGAAAGTGGCAGTGCAAGAATTGGGATGTCCATTGTGCAAGTTTTGACCTATGAGAAGAAATTCAATCTTGAACAAGAATCAAATGAGTGATTATGCGATATTCATCATTAACTTTTATTTATGGATAAACGGATATAACGTAAAAATATTTATCTTATTTTTAAAATAATAAATAGAAAAATATGCTTATTAACAATAAACTGTTTTTAAAAAATTCAATACCAATTTAAATAAATAATAAAAATATTTAGGAAGTATCCAATTATTTCTTACTCATAATAGTTTTTAGGTAACAAATTGCTTCTCTAATAAATATATATATATTCGGAATTTTGGCTTTTATCATGCAGAAAAAAAAAAAAAAAAAAAAAAAAAAAAAAAAAAAAAAACACACCTCATTTTGGCTTTTATAATTATATAAGTAAATTTATATAATCGGTAAACATAAACAATATTAACAAACATGTTTTTCTTCAAAACCTTTTTAAATAAATAATAAATTATAAACATAAATAGTGACGAAATGGGGCCTTAATTTTTATAAGATATGTGTTTATTATAAAGTGATCATGCAATTTTCATTATTATCATCCTTTTCTTTGTCTCATATGTGAGCAAAGTATACTATATCCACAAAGTATTTACTATGTTTTATCTCATTCTTTTCTATTATATCTTTCCTTAAATTTAAGTTTTTTAAATAGTTGTCTCTTTTATGGCTTACCTTCTAAACGAAAACTCTCCATTTTTTTAGCATGAGCATCATTAGAACTGATTTTGTTTACATAGGTGGGTTAAGATTAAGATTATTATGATAGTCATTTTATACTTGGTATTATTTTACATATAGTGGTTGGTGTTGCTATTTTATATGCAACTTGTTTGCTAAAACAAATCGAATATATTTTAAATAGACTTAAAATTTGTTTAGTAGTTTTATTAAAAACGAGGGTTAAGTATCTTAAACACCCTTAAGTTTATATTGTTTTTAGCAAATAACACCCTCTTTTATTTTGGGTATATAATTTCTTCAAGAATTTAAAAATGTTGTAAATAAGGATATTTAAAAAATGTGTCTCTAGCACATGATTGATTAAAATTATTCTTTATTGATTCCCAAAATGCCTTTCATTTTTTATATAAATCTCAAAAATAAAAGATATAATAGTAATTTAACATTAATTGAATTATTATTATTTTAATTATAATAAGGACATTTTAATATTTTTATCACCCCGTTAACTACTCATTTGACTAAAAGTTTGACTAAAAGTCATTATTTGCCCTTCCAATAAATGTATATAAGTTATATGCATATTGCACGTGTTAAATGCTCGCTGAGCCATAGAAGCCTTAGAAGGACGACAACTTTTACTACAAAAGAATATATATATATATATATATATATATATATATTGCGGTAATGATTTGACTTTTCTAACCGTGGGACTTTTGTGGGAGTAAAGGGGCTGTGTTTTTTTTTTTCTATAACTTGGCGCATAGAAACCAAATCTGTGTGCTTATAATTGTAACCTACAAATAAAGGCGACTATGACCTAATGTGAATTCTAATTTGAAAGTGGTCATTTGTATAAAAATAAAAAATAATAATAAAAAGAAAAGAGGTAATTAGGTCTAAATCAAATATATCATTTCCATGGTTTGTAAGCGTTATAATAATATATAATTTATAGAATCAAAGGTACAAATATTATATATGTACATGAAGTCATGGATGATATTTACTTCTTGACTTAAACATCCATTTAAATCTACTGACTCTAACATCTTCCATTGACCATTAGGGTTTAAAAGTCTTAATTTTCACTCTGGATAACTTTTTGCTGGTCTAACTTAGCAACTTAATGTTCATGGAAATCAAAATCCTTACCAATCCGTCTTAAGCCAATCAGATCTATACATATATGTATTATTTATGTGTACAAGCAGGTGCAACATACATACATACATATATATATATATATGACATGTATATTTTTGTAAGAACTTATTCTGGCACGTAACTGTCACACTCAAGTTTTGCTCCCACGCACACTTAAATCTTTAACCTTTCATTTGACTCTTATGGTATATTTTGGTTGAACACGTGGCGCAATTCGAGGCTTGCATCACCCATGATATTGTCAAAATTTTTGGTCTTCAAGAATATGCGCCAAGTGAGTCTTTTAAGTGGTAAACAAGTAGCCTCATTTTGGTGTCCTATTTTGGCTATAAATAGCATTTGCCCTCCATAGTTTAAAGCATCCAAAATAATCAATTAAGTTGTGTGTTTGTAATATTGAGTGAGAGCGTTTGGGTGTACGTAATTGGGTTTTGGGTGTGAGCCACTTTGCCTTGTATTTCTTTATTTCTATAGCGAAATTTTGTTCTGTCTTCTCCCTGCGGACGTAGATATAGCCGAATCACATAAATTCTTGTCTCATTTGTATGTGTGCTATTTGTTTTTTCTTGTCATTATTTTTATCTTGTTCTCATTGTAGACACTAAAATTTTAGTGTGTTTTGATTTGACAAATTGACCCATCAAATATGGATCTAATGTTTAACTAAGTTATTTAATTAGCCCAATCTTGATCCACTTAAATTATTTAATTAGCTCAACCCAGATGATTAAATGAAAAAATAATTATTCCTAATAAAATATATTTGGAATAATTATTTTGAAGGATAATTATCATAATATAACCAGTCCGACCCAGTTATGATTTTATTCTTATCAGGAGAGGACACATATCATCATCCTATTAATCGAAGAAGCTTATAAATAGAAGCCTGGAGGAAGGAGGAAGGGGTACACAAATTCATAATACAAAATTCTAGAATTTCAGAGAGAAATACAGAAACTTTGCCAATACTCATCCCCAATATTTAAACCTAAAAGCGAAGAACACCAAGCACATCAAATCGTGTTGTTCTTCATCAAATTTCACGGTGATCAACAACAAGCACATCAAATCGTGCCGTTCTTCATCTAAATTCCACGGTAATTCAAGATCAAGCTTGTACAGCCCTTGGATCCAACCAACAAAAAAGGAGATCGAATCAGAGGATCGTATTCTTTGTAAAGAATATTACAGAGGATTGTACTCCAATTTTTTTTAATTTAATAAAATATTATTTTAGCTCCATATTTTGTTATTATTTGCAGACTACAAATTTTGTGTGTACAAATTTCTGGCACTCCCGGTAGGACATCATTTGCCTCTCATCTCTTTCTCCTACCATCAAGTTTCTTCTCTATCAAATTATATGGCTCTCCCTAAGACTCAGACAGACAAGAAAGCCCAAAAGAACATCGCTACTGCAAAGGTCAACGCCAAAGCCACCATGAAAAGTGGCACGAAGGCCAAATCAAGTGATGGAAGCACCTTGGCGGGCCCTGTGACACGTAGCAAGTCCCAGGCAATCGCGTCATCCAAACATCAGCAATATTTGGTGAAAACGAATCCTGCAAAGCCGGGGAACGTGAAAACTCAACATATCAAGAACCCTGACGTTGTTCCAGAGGAGATTTCACCACCAGATTCACCTCATTCCGTCTATGATGCTCACTCTAATGTCCGTTCACCCCCAGAGTCACCACGTCAGACTTCAGAACAATCAATCATTTCAACAACGTTGACTCTCAAGGCCTATTATACTCAGACATGGTCGCTGCGATGATGACTGGAGATGCTATGGTGAAAGAACAACTAGCAATTATGGCTCATGCCATTGATAACCTCACAAAGACTGTTGAAGAGAAGGACTTGCAAATCGTTACATTGATGAATAAATTGGAAGTTCAGAATCCTACAGCTTCCACAACAGTGCCCTACATCTTCCACAGCAGTGCTATCTAGGAATCCTGTAACTTCCACACCACCACCGTCTGGGAATCCTACATCTTCCACAACAATGCCGTCTGGGAATCCTAATTCTATGGCACAATGTACTCATATGGAAGACCCCAGACAGACGCCCATGACAGAACAGGCTGTTAGTCAAACCAATCATACTTCTTCAGTCTCTTCATTATCTGTTGAACAATTGCAAGATATAATAATGAATACAATCTGAGCCCTCTCATGTACTCAAAGCCCTATACAAAGAGAATCGACAATATAAGGATGCATGTATGATACCAACTCTGAAGATTCAGCAATTTGACGGAAAAGGCATCCCCAAGCAACACATTGCCCATTTTGTCGAGACTTGCAACAATGTCGGAACTGATGGGGACTTACTAGTTAAACAGTTTGTCCACTCCCTTAAAGGAAACGCGTTTGAGTATTACACAGACCTAAAGTCAGAATCAATTGATAGTTGGGACCAAATGGAACGAGAATTCTTAAACATGTTCTATAACACTCGTCATACTGTTAGTATAATAGAATTGACTTACACGAAGCAATGGAAGAATGAGCCTATAATCGACTATATTAATCGGTGGCGTGCACTCAGTCTTGACTGCAAGGACCGATTGTCAGAAATCTCTGCTGTAGAGATGTGTATGCAGGGAATGCATTGGGGCCTTCTTTACATTCTCTAATGCAT